TGTGTGTGTGTGTGTGTGTGTGTGTAGCGCCAGCACAGCCCCATCAGGGGGCGGGGCTGGCTGGCATGTGGTGCTGGGGGATTGAACCACAGTCCCTGTGCTTTGCTAAGCATGTTCTAAGTAGGTACTTTAGACCACTGAGCCATCTCACCAGCCTGAGGACCGCCGATTCTTGACAGCATCCTGTGTCCCTGGATGTTGGGAGCACAGGGCTCCCAAAGCATAGTGTTCTTAGAATCTCTCCCATACCAACCTTTCTGTAAGAAAGCCAGAAAGCATCTAAGAAAAGGCTTCTATTATTTCCAGAAAGCTTAACATTGACTTTCTGTGGGCAGCTCTGCAATGAGTTTAGACAGTAAACTTTTAATGGGATGATGTTTCCTTCAAGCACCTTGAGTTTGTGGGAGCTGTGTCTTTCTGCAGCTGGGCAATGGGGGCAGGTTTATGAATTTGCATTACAAAGCCACAGTTACTGGCCAGGGCAGTCCTTCGAAGGCATGGATGGAGTGCTTGATTCTATACAAGTGATTAATTCCCTAGCCAGGGATGAGTTTATTCCTGCAGTTAATTCTACACCACTTGCCATTTATACGTGTGGACAATCTGGGCTTGCCACTGATTTCTCTGCTCTTCTGCAGATGACAGGACATATCACTTCCAAGCAGAGGATGAGCAGGAGTGTCAGATGTGAGTGACCTGGGGTGGGACTCTGGGTCTCCCCAGCCCTTATTCTTGGCTGTGACACTTGGCCACTGTCCCCATCATGTGTCTAGATGGATGTCTGTGCTGCAGAACAGCAAGGAAGAAGCTTTAAACAACGCATTTAAGGGTGACGACAGCACCGGGGAAAATAACATCATCCAGGAGCTGACCAAGGAGATCATCTCAGAGGTGCAGAGGATGACAGGCAACGATGTGTGCTGCGACTGTGGAGCACCAGGTGACTCGGTGTGCCCCACCCCAGGTTCTGGACCATTCAAATCCCATTTCCACTCACAGAATCCAGTCATTGATTCTTGCTTCCACGTTACTCATGTTACTCATGATGTAAAGTGCAGCTCAGCCAGAGTTCATCCTGTTGTGCAAATGCTTAACGGGCTGTGTGGACCACACTGGGTGGGGGCTAGAGGGTGTGTCCCTGCCAGCCCTCGGAGCAAATTAGAGTGAGGCAGCCTGGTGGACACAGAGGTGGCAGTGCCTTCTGAGAAATGAGAACCCAGCCACATGGGGGGAGTCCAGGTCCTGGCCTCCTGTGGCTTCTGCGAGGCTGTAGGTGTGCAGGAGGGGCCAGGCTTTGCTGTAGCCTCTCGGCCCTACTTTGTAGACCTCCTAAGATGATTTCACCCAGGTGTGGCAGTGTATATCTGAAATCCCAGCACTAGGAAAGTTGAGGCAGGAGGATCACCATGAGTTTCAAGCCAGTCTATGCTACATAGTGAATTGAAGATCTGTCTGAATTGCATTGAAGAGAGCCTGTCTCAAAAATAAAATATAAGCAAGTAAGTTTTAGCTCAGTTTGGTCAACTTGGTGGGAACCTGCCTCAAAGTTTAAACAAATTAAAAGAGGCTAGGGGTGTTGCTTAGTGCAGAGGCTCTGGGTCTGATCCCTAGCACCATAAACAAAGAAACAAGTAAATAACTGTCAGTCATTGTCAAGAACCCTAAGTTTAGTAGATGTCCATATTCTGTAAAATGAAGGAGCAAGTCCCTCTTTGCTGTCTCATTCGGTGACCAGTCACTTCTGTTTGCATTTTGTCAGAGACTTCATTATAATGATACAGTATCACTGTTAATTCTGGGGTTTTTTTGGTTTTTGGGTTTTGTTTTTTGTTTTTTGTTTTTTTACCAGAAATGGAACTCATGACCTTGCATTTACCAGGCAGGCACTGTGCTGCTATATCCCCAGCCCCTGGTTTATTTGTTTTTGCTTCTAGGAATCAAACCCAGGGATTTACTCCTGCTAGGCAAGCACTCTACCACTGAAGCCACATCCCCAGCCCTTTTCATTGTTAAACAGCGTCTTCCTAAATTATATAGGCTGGCCTCAAACTTGCAGTGCTCCTGCCTCAGCCTTCTGAGTGCTGGGATTACAGGTGTGCACCATACCTGGTTTAACAACTAGTATTTTTTAAATGTCTGCAAAGTTGACTTACGCTAATTAAGATGGAAGGATCCTGGGCATGGTCAGTGGAACTATATACATAGTACCCATTTTGAGAATTGTAAGATGAAAAAGAGTGTGGCTTTGCCAGAATGTCAAGTTACCTTTTGTGTCTGTAGTTCTGGGTATTTCTATTAAAAACACAACTAAAATAGAGTGGACACTTGAGAAATGCCAGTAGGTTCCTATTACCCTGATGGCTATATTTGGTGTTAGATCCATTAAAAAAATATCCTTTGGGCAGAAGATGAGGTGGGGAGAGGTCAGTAATGAATTATACTCTTTCTTGAGAAAAGGTAAGGACAGCGACAAAATGTTGCTGTCTCAAACACTGGTAAAGAAGTCAGAGCTGGTATGATAGCACACAGGTGGGCTGTCTGGGTCTGAGCCTCCTTCACACAGTGAGATCCTCCTCATCCTGCTGTCTTCACTGGCCTTTGTATGCTTCAACCAGATGTGACATGAAAATGTTCTGGGATTTCTGAAGCTCTTATGACACAGACTATTCCTGTCACCACCAAGTGCTGGACATAGCCTATTCTAAGCAGATAGTGGCGTCCTCTGATGCCTTTAGCATCCCCTGCCTGTATGTCTCATGGCCATTCCCCTTTGAGAACTAGAATGTGGGGCCTCTTGCCTTTTCTCTCGATCCACTCTGCTGGTCTGACCAGGGTGGAGAAGGGTGTGTTCTCACTCCAGGACCAGCCCTGGAGGAACCCATGGTCACTTTATAGCCCTGCCTCCTACTGACTTCTGTGCTCACGGCAGTTGCCACTTAATGAATGGGGAGATGAAGGTGGGATATGGTGGGGAGACCCACTGACTTTGGTCTGTATGTGGATTGCATGTTAATCAATGTTCATTCTGGAGACGCAAGGTTTTAACTGTGTCAGAAATCAAACATACTCATGTTCAAAACTCCACATTCAGGAGCCAGCAAAAGAAAATGCACCTCCTGGCCTCTTCCTGACTGCAAGCTCAAGTGTACCCTTTCCTCCTTGGCAGATCCTACATGGCTTTCTACCAACCTGGGCATCCTGACCTGCATCGAGTGTTCTGGAATCCACCGAGAGCTGGGGGTTCATTACTCCAGGATGCAGTCCCTGACCTTAGATGTGCTGGGAACATCTGAGCTGCTGGTACTTTTTAGATTCTTGATTTGGAAGTTGGAATTAAATGAGCAGAGAGCTAAGTTTTTATTTGGCATTCTTACTCATTTTGGTCTCTCAAAATATCAGTGGGCTGCTGGTGGTTTTGTTGCCAGATGGATTTGGGTAATTAGAAGCTCATTGATAATTCTTCCTTCTCAGAGATGAGCAAGTCAGGGCACTTGTTGTTACAAAACTTTATTCTGAAATACAAACTAATAAGTGAACCCAAGATTCTGGTGTGAGATTCTGCAGAAACAGTATAGGCTGCTTGCACGGCCCACTGCATCCATCTGTGAAGTACATACAGAAACCAAAGCAGAAAGGAGGAAAGACTTCCTTCTCTGTGAGCCATCAGCTGATTTCTGACACTGCTTGGGTCACTCTTTTTGCCCTTTCAGGAGAGACACTGGTCTTCTTTTCACTGCTGCTTTCCTGAAAAGGCTTTCAGTCTTGGTTCCGTTATAACACAGAAGTCTGGGTCAGGGATGAGACAGGAGCACATTATGTGCAGACACTTTCAGAGTGCTGAGGTGCTGCCCGGCTGAGTAAAAAGTGAATTGGGCTCATTCTGTGATTCTGGCCACTGAAAACTTGAGTTTCCCTGGCTGTTTCAGAGTCCTTGGTGGTTGGTTAGAAAACAGTACATGAAACTCCTTCTCCGGGTAGCCGGGTATCCAACAGGGCATAGTAAGTGGATATTGGTTGCCATTGATTGTAATGTCAAGAGCAATAATCTCAACAGAAAAATCATGATGGTGGTCAGTATAACCCTCAGGGGTCATAAATCTTCTTGACAAATCCTCTGGATTCTTGTGTCTGGATTGCTGATGCCTCCAAACTCTCTTGGGGACCCTCCCAGTCTTTTGTCTCAGAAGTCAGGAGTTGAGAGGAGCTGGAGTGGATCCTGGTGAACCTGGGTGGGGACAGCCCTGGTGACCTAAGGCCCAGGCACAACAAGGCCCCAGGGTACTCTTGTCACTGTGGTGGCTGCTTCTGCTGTGAAGATGCAAGTGGCCTGCAGCCTACAGCATGTGTCTGTGTCTGTGTCTGGGAGTGGATGACAGCAGTGGCAGCAACCTGAGGCTGTTGTGTTTCCAGAGACATATAGATTGTATCAGTAAACACTGACGGACTGTAGCAGTCACTACTTTTACCAATTTACTTATAGCAGTAGGAAGGATTAAGTCATCTATGGTAAAATAACTTGTTCTGCATTAGGCATTTCAAAAAGTGAATTACACTTATGAGCTCATGAGATCTCTGCAACAGCCTGATGTCCTTGGTGTGTTATCCTTGCTTTACTGAGGATAACAGAAGAAGAACTGGAGGCTTGGAAATGTTTTTAAAATGCTTCTGTTAAGAGACACCTGGGAGGAGGGCACCTCATCTCTGATTAGAGAGCTCACACTCTCCATTCAGCAGGGCCTGGGCCATGGACCGGGTTGTTTGGCCATGTGACTGCTCACCCCCTACTGCCTGTTCATGGCTTGCTCTGAAGAGAAGAGAACTCTAGTTTGCAGCCTGCCCATCCCCGTGGGCACCATGACCAGTTAGTTGCAAGTTACCCACATCAATTTAGAATGTGTATTTGGAAAGAGATGTTGAGTAGCAGCAGCACACAGTTCTGTAAAACAGTCATGCAAATATACTGGGCACAGATAATAGAGCTGTCCATAGTGCACACCTGTAATCCTACCTCTTGGGAGGCTGATGCCAGAGGATTACAGCAAGTTTGAAACCAGCTACATAGTTAGCTCAAGCCCAGCCTGAATGAAGGAGAAAGATGTAATATATTTCATTTATGAGTTAATGTAGTATAACTTTTAATGATGTTTGTCCAACAGGTGGCTCATAAACTTCTTAAAAATAAAAATTTAACATTTGGCTCTCATGAGCTGTTGAATCCTGACCCCAGCATGTTTTGAAACTGCTTAAAGGTGTCTCAAAAAGAGGACTACACCAAACAAGGTTGAAAGAAGGATAAATCCATCTTGATCAAAGATGACTTCTATAGTAATGCCTAATCCCTGATTCAAATTGCAGTTTCTGTATGCCAGGACTTCTTTTGTTTTGGTTTTTGGTTTGTTGAGACAAGATCTTCCTGTATAGTCCAGGCTGACCCCAAACTCATGGTATCCTGCCTCATCCTCCTGAGTGCTGGCATTACAGACATGCACTACCACACCTGCTCTTCTTTTTCCTGGTGGTCTCTTTTAAAAGCACAAGTAGGAGGTGCTAATGCATGTAAGGTTTGTTGTCCACCACCCCTCATCCCTGAGGTGTCATCCTCTGGTGGCCAAAGGGGGAGGTGGCTGTCTCCCCTCCTCCTCTCTCGCAGCCCACATTTTCTATGTGTACTGGGACTGTGGTTCCAAAGCCCTGACTAAAACCTCAGCTCCCCAGCTCTGCAGTATAGAAGTGGGTGTTTCCATTCAATTACAAAGCCTACAAGTCTCCAGCCTTTTGGTACTCGTTTCATTTAGACAATGAGCTATGTAACAATTTCCGAAAGTCTTGACACCTCTGTGTGCCTGTGTGTGTGTACGTGCACTGCTCATACATCTAACATTCCGCCTGACATATAGTATAAAACTTGTAAAATACCAGCTACTTTATTACCTCCATCTCTAAGATGATTTCAGCAGAATTCTTTTAGAAAAATCAACCATGAATCCTGATGCCTTGTCCCAGAGAGCCACCTGTTGTGCCCAGCCTGTGTGCACATCCTGCGGGTCTCAAGACTATAGTGCCAGGGTTTTAGGCACCGTGTTCCTCAGCTTTTTCTTGTGTCACAAGTGTGGGCAGCTCCACTTTCAGCCTATGCAAGATCAGGATGTGTAGCCTGGACAGCTGCTTTAGGCATTTCCCATTTTGTAGATAAAATAGCAGGATGGTCACATATCAGGATGATGTTCTGTGCCGAGAGAGGATTTTAATTTATATGCTAGATTTAGGGTGTGCAACTGTGGTTTTTTGGGTTTTGAGTTTTGGGCTCTTTTTTTATGTGGTGGTGATTGTTTTGGTGTTTGGCTTTGTTTTTTTGAGACAGGGTAGCCCAGGCTGGCCTTGAACTCACAGTGATCCTTCTGCCTCTGCTTCCTGAGTGCAGGGACTACAGACATGCACCACTGTGCCTGGCCAGCAGTGATGTTGGGATACATTACATACATGGTGGACCCATCCATCCCCATAAGTGTTGATCACTTGTGTTCAGAACGCAGACTCTTGTCTTAGTGTCAAAGGGACATTAGGAGAACAGAGGAAAGGGACAAAACAGAAGGGTCAGGAAGGCATGGGAGAGACCAAGGTGTCATATGCAGGTACAGATTCACCAGAAGGAAACCTGCTATGCTATATAACTTAAATGCACCTCCCCAAAAATCTAGTCTTTGGGGGCTGGGGAGATGGCTCAGTGGAATAACCTCTTCCCTGGCAAGCACAAGGGCCTGAATTCAATCCTCGGTTCTGCAAAAAAAAAAAAAAATTGTGCAATTTTCAAGTATTCTTTACACTATACACATGTTCCCTGTACTGCACAGCAAATGTCCCCTGTAGCCTGTGTTCTGTCTCCAGAATTTTTTCACCTTGATTAACTGAAAGTGCTTGACTTGTTTCCCCACCACCACTTCCTGGTGACCACTGTTTTACTCTTTGGTTCTGTGAGGTTGACTTCTTTATATGTCACTTAATTGAGAGGGCATGTGGCAGTTGGCTTTCTCTGCTGGCTTAGCATAATGGCTTCTGGGTTCGTGGATGTAGCCACAAAGGCAGGATTCCACTCTTTCCTGAGCTTCATAGTACTCCCTCATTGATATGTACCATACTATCCTTACCTGTTTTTCCATGCCAGATGGTTAATTCTGCAGAAATTTTGTTTCCTTTGCATATCTGCTTGTGGCATTCCTGGAACATGGGAAAATCTGTTGTTTGCAGAACCTCATTGTTATTTTCCACAGTGTCTGCACCAGTCTCCATCCCTACCAACACAGCCAAAGGTCCGCCATCCTTCCCACTTCATGATTTGCCATTTTTGTCCTTGGAAGACAAGACCCTCCAACAAGCAAGAAGTGATACCTCATTGTGGTTTTCATTTGCATTTTCCTGACAATTGAGGATGCTCTTGGCCATGTTTATGTCTTCTCCTTGAGAATTCCTGTCTTGGACCTTCACCCATGTTTTGAAAAATTGCTCTGTTGCTATTGAGTGACCTATGTTCCTTCAGCATAGCGTATTTTAACCTCTTTCCCACATATGGTTTCTAATTCTCTCCTGGCCCATGGGAGGGTTTTTTCATGCTCTTAGTGTTTCCTTTGCTGTGTAGACGTTAGGTTGAAGCAGTCTTGTGTATCTGTCCTTGCGTTTTTGGTGATGAAAAGTGTTTATTTTATTTATTAACTTTTTGTTCACACTGACCATGCACTCCCTCTGTGGCCCAAACTGGGCTCACATTGTTTTCTGAGTGTTGGGATCATAGGCGTGTGCTCAGCATAGGAAAGGTGGGACTAGGCTGAAAGAGACCGCAGGTATATATGAGCAAGGCCTGCTTTGATTTGCATTTTCATTTCCTCTCTGACATTATGTCCCTTCATAGACAGATGCTCACCCAGTAAAATGTCACCCATCCTCCATATGGCCCAAGCATATTCTTTGTGATTAGCGCCTTTTGCTTAATTATGTAAAGTATTTCTGGCCTCTGGCCCACAGTTACTGCCACTTTCTCCCTTCCACCTTGATTTTGTTCCAGGGCACACTTGTCTTCTGCTATCATTGAGTGTACTTCTGCAGTGGCTACGAAGGGGTCTGGTTAGGGACCATCTTTTCTTCCCCTTACCTGCTTTGAGAATCACCTTTCATGTGATGCAATGGAACTTGAGGAATTGCAGCATTTATTTGATTACTTCGGGGAGTCGAGTGTCCCTAAGACTTCAGCACACAGCAGCTCAGAAAACTGTCAGGTGGACATCGATTTTAAAAGGCTTCATCCCTTCTGTACAGAGGCTATAGGTACACATTCATTACTTTTCAGGTGATATAAGAAACAGTACCACAGTCCTTGTGTCCTCTGACCATTTCAAGACCATTAATGAAATTATTAAATCTTCCATGAGTCAAAGAACAAGTGTCAGGAGGCTTCAAACAAACAGGAGCCACCAGGCTCTGCCTCCTGCCCACTCCCACTGCCCTTCCACAAGGCCTGGGTGTGTGGGCAGGGACAGCTCAACACCCTTCAAAGACCAGGGCCAGCTCATACCTCATAAGTACTCTGGGTCCCCAGAGCAGCTGTCCAGGACTGCACTCCATGGACCCTTGGCTTCAAGCCACTGAGTGACAGTTGTGCTGCAGGCACTGTCACTGGGGCTCCCTGTACATTCTGTCTTCTCCATGCCAGAGCTTGGTTGAAATACCAAGGCCTGAGAGGCAAAGAAGCTTGCAGCAGTGCCTGTGCCTGTCATCCCAGCACACAGGAAGCTGGGCCAGGAGGATCACTGCAAGTTTGAGGCCAACCTGAGCTACTTAGTGAGTTCAAGACCAGCCTAAACTATATAGTGAGACAATAAATAAATAAATAAATAAATAAATAAATAAATAAATAAATAAAAGCTGGGTCCTGGCAACCCCAAGAGGCTGCACGTTTCTCTGGTGCTGGGTATGTGACGCACGCTTGTGGAAGCTCCCTGGACCAGCTGTCCCTGATGAACCAGCCAGTTCCAAACAGAAGGGAAGCAGCTTTCTGATTTCTGGGGATTCTCCTCCTCCCACCCCAATCCATCTGTTTAACCCAGGCAAGGAGGCTTCAGAGAGGCTCTCATCTCACAAAGAGGGTGCTGTAGCTGCTGTTGTCACTCACGGTCAAGAAATGGTACACGGCAAGGGGTTGTTTTCCTGCCACGTGATGCCATGGGCAGGAGCTCATGTTGGCCGGTAACCCAGGCCCCCTGCATGTGAACCTATTCTGGATTTGACCCGTCCAACAGCAGTGGCCTCCCCTGACCACTGATCCTGGAGCCTCGTGTTCAGAAAACTTCAGCTTGGCAGCCTGGCTTCTTACCTTTGCACCTGGGCTTGAGGCTGCAGAGCCAGCAGCAAGGGGTTAGCATTGGTGTTTAATGCTTTTCCTGTCTAGGAACTTCTGTTCACTTGTGAACAGAAAGGACAAGGTGAAATCAGCGAGGAGGCTCATCACACCACTGGGAAGCTGCCCTGCATGTGTCTCTTATCATGTGTTGCAGAAAAATCTTCTGAGCCAAATGTGATGGTGCCAGCCTATAATCCCAGCATTCTGGGCAGCTAAGATAGGAGGATTACAAATTCAAGGACAGCCTGGTAACTTAGTGAAATCTTGTCTCAGAAAATAAGAAGGGCAGGTGATGCAGCTCAATGTAAACGCCCTGGCTCAGTCCCTAGTAATACAGAGAGAAAGGGGTAAAGGAGAGAAGGACCAAAAAGAACTATCTTCTGCTTCTGTCACTGTCTCCTTCACATTGCATGTTGTTCCACCTGGAAGAACTTCTGACCTGACTGGACTCAGGTCTGTTTGGCCCTTCCTCCAGCCACTTCCACTGGAAGCAGACACATCTGTTGGGCCTCCCGGTGCATCTCTGTCAACCCTTTGTCTACACAGTTAATTTGGAACAATTGAAGGTGTCATCAGTTCCCCCAACATTTACATTCTCAAAGCACAGTGCTAGGACCTCCGTTCTAGTACTGTTACTTGAAATACTGAAGACTCTGAGCTATAGTACAGAACAATTACTTGGCTACAGGCAGGCCCAGCTCCATCCCTCATACTGCAAACAAATTAAACATGAGTCTAACTGGGCATGGTAGCCCATGCCTGTTGCTGTAGCACTTAGGAGGCTAGGCAGGAGGTTGGGACAGGTTTGCTGAGAGTTTGAGGCCAGTGTGCCTCCTCATAGTGAGTTCAAGGCCAGCCTGAACTATACAGCAAGACCCTGTCTCAAAAAACTGAAGGAAAAAATCAGACCTTGGAGCTTCCCACATGGCAGATACGGAGATAGGTGTTAGAAATGAGACAATTAAGTCCCTGCCTACTCTTAAGGAGTTCCTGGTCATTCATTCATTCAAAAGGATGCTGTTTGTCCATTGTCAAAGTAGCATGTGACACTGCAAGTGTCTGCTCTATCAGGCTCAGGCTTGGTGTACAGTGAAGAGCTTTGCCTGTGTCTCAAGGAGGAAGCCGGTGGGCACAGATGACCTTACATCTGGCCCTATTGTGACATTTGCAGTGCTTTGGTCTCCGAGTACTTTCACCTAGCTCATCCTGTTTCTGCCCTTGTTGCCATGCTTGAGGTTGGTGTCCTGCCCATGCTGTGAACAGAGGGTGATGCTTGCCCTTGGCCACACAGCCAGTGATGCAGCCACAACTTGGAGCTGAGTTGGGGCTGCCAAGCCCTGTACCACTTGCACTCTTAGTACCTCACAGTCAGGGCCAAGATGGTGGCACAAGTCAGGGATGGAGGGAGGGAACCTCGCAGCCATGGCCGGCTTCTCCCTGGCCTGTAGGGACCACCCAAGGCACATTATTCAAAGCCCTCTTCAGAAGGCAGGCTGCTTCTCTGTGATTTTTGGCTTCCTCTGGGCTTTGGCTTTGTCCATCTTCATTAATGGTGAGCCACTTTATTGCTCTATTTCTTAGCAGCCATTAAATAAATCATCAGCAGGATAAGTAACGGGTAGCAGTGGGATGCATTAATAATTGAGTGCCCTGAAATAGACTTCATTTTTGCAGCTTGCCAAGAATATTGGGAATGCAGGCTTTAACGAGATTATGGAGTGTTGCCTGCCACCTGAGGATACTGTCAAGCCCAACCCAGGCAGTGACATGTAAGTACAGGCCTGGCCACTGCCAGTTCTTCAATGAAAACTTGCCCTTCAAAGTAGGGGAATGACAAGGTTGAGATGTATCAAGTGTTATTTCTTCTTCTTTCCTTTTCTTTCCTTTTGTTTTCAAACAGGGTCTTACTGTATAGCCCAGCCTGCCCTCAAACTCCTAGTGATCCTCCCGCTTCAGCCTTTTAAGGACTGGGATCACAGGCATGCATAACCATGCCCAGCCAGTTTTGTTCTTTAAAAATCAAACCAGCTTAAATTAAATAGGAAGCTTCCTTTTCTTTTTCCATTTCTCTTCTCTCCCCTTCCCTTTCCTTCCTCTCCTCTTGTCTCTCCTTGTTTTTGTGTTTTTTTTTTTGGTTTTTTTTTTTCCCTTGGCTTTCTTATTGGGACCTTTTGTGTGTCCAGATAGAAACTTGGCACAGCTGAGTTCTGCTTCTAGGAAGAGGCCAGAGGGCCAGAGGTTCAGCGGATGCCCCACATACATGTTGTATGCTCTGTGCTCCTGCCCTCTGTGCTCTGGCTGACTCCTCCCCGGCTGCTTTTGCATCTTGGTTCTCCATGTGGATTCCAATCCTCCAGGGGGATAGGTTGTCATGGACACATGACACATGTACACCTGGTTGTGTGTTACACTCTCTACCGAGAGTTATTCCCTTCAAGAAAAGCCTGTGGGATTTTTCCTGTTGACCCAAGGCTTGACTGAGCAGTGTTTACTGCTCATCCTGCTGTGTCCTGCTGGCCCCGAGTGGTGGCATCTACTAGGGGGTGATGATGTGTTCTTGGCAGTCTCATCACAGTGTGGGCCCAGACCACTGTGGTCCTGAGGAGGCAGAGGGCATCAGTCCGCGCCCTAGTCTTTGGCATCATCAGCGAGCTCCAGCTTGTTTGTTAGGAAGGTGACCTGTGTGCCTCAGGAGGGCCCAGGGTGGTCACCACCTGGCTGTGACACAGAATGGGCCAGAAGGAGAGGCCAGTCCTCTGGGAGTTGGAAGAGACCCCCCCGCCTACACTGTATGGGAGGCAGATCTGAACTATCCTGGCAGGAGAGAGAAAAGTGAAAAACTGGGTTTGTCTAGGAGAAAGTGAGCATCTCATTCCAGAAACCACATTTCTGTAGAAGCAGCCTGAGATGGAATGAGTACAGAGCCCTCTGACAGATTCCAATCACTATCACATGCCTTGAAGAATGGCTTTACATGCAGGTGCGGGCCCTTTGTGAAACAGTTTAGATTTTATAATCATTTCTCAGGTACACATTTGGGTGTGGTGACAAAGCAGAGACGCACTGAAGGGACAGAGTAGGGACATGACCATGTCTGTCCCTGGCTCCCAGGGCTAAGGTGGCCAGGTAGGCCAAGGGAGGTGCAGAATGAAAGTCTGCTTGCACTTGTATGTTGGAACTCAGCTTTGACCCAAGCATCTCCTCAAGGTGGGATAGCATTGGTCTCAGGTTACCAGTTACCCTGTCCAGATGAGGATCTAAGTTTCAAATCTGTGTTACTGGTCAGGACACCCCACTCCCAAACTCTGACAATAGAGACACAGACATCTGAGCCTGAGCCACTGGACGAGACAGATTCTGTAATTCTGAGTCTCAGCCCCAAGCTGGCCGTGGCTGTGCCTATAAACCCCAGACTCAGGAGGCTGAGGCCAGCCCACACTGCATAGTGAGACCTTGCCTCAAAAAATCAATCAAAAACAAAAGGAGAGACCATGCTCTACTTGCTCTACTTCCTCAAGAAGGCCTGGGGGACTCACTGAGGTGCTTAGTTGATGTTGGCTGTTCTATATCTTTCCCATGGGCCATGAGGTCCTTATAATGGGCAGGACATGGACTCCATGGGCCCCTTGAAGGGCACCAAGCTAGGTGTCCAGGGGCCATCTCCCCAGGGGAGGACCTATCTGGAGAAGATCCTGCTGCGCCCCCTCGTGGCAATCTTTGTCACAGCAACATATTGTACAGGAACAGGAGGACAAGGAAGATGCAAATCCATCAGGACATATGTGTGAGAGCCAAAGCTCCTGCTCTTTCTGCAGTCTCCCAGAGAGCCAGTCTGCTGGCCAACCCAAAACAGGGTGTCTCATTAGTCATTTGTTTCAAGGTCCACAAATGCATTGTAAAAGCAGAGCATTTGTCTGTTCTGGAGTAAGATGAGTCTACAAACGGGCAGACACTACTCACTTAGAATACCTTACCAGTATTCTACCTTTCCGGGATTCTGGTCCCAGCCTTGGTGTGCACATTCACATCTCCCTTTTTCTCAGAAGGATGGGTCACAAGCATGGTGACAAAGTGCTACCTTGTTCACTGTTATCCAGCGGAAATGAGCTATGGGGCTCACAGTGTCCATCCACAGAATTCATCTCTGTCCTCAGGCATCCTGTATCCCTGTACCTTGTGCCAGGCTCTCACACATATGCTCTGATAGATTGTATCTTCCTTGTCCTCCTGTTTCTACACAGTATGTCACTTAGGTGGTTCATTAATCATTTCATAAGCCAGCAGCAGGTCAAGGAAATAACTCCAGCTTCAAGGACACTAATGTCCTCTGCCTAGATGCAAAGGGATACCCTGTTTCTAACTATTTAAGAACAGCACACCTACAATGCAGTCTTTTGAAAGGATAGACACCCTCTGGTGGCCTGTGAGTCCCCATACAGATTTTTGGGCTGTGGAGCCTATATCACAGGGCTGCTAGAGGCCTGGTTGATCTGTTCTCCAGAGCCCCAGATAGTTTTGGGGTGTTTTGGGGGACAGGGAGAACTTGGCTGAGCAGGTGGTTCATCCTGTGCTTTGTGGCTTTTGTCCAAAGATCTCAACCTTTAAATAAGAAGGCAGCCTATGACCCCAGCACTTGGGAGGGTGAGGGAAGAGGAACCCCATGAGTTCAAGGCCAGCCTGGACTACATAATGAGACCCTGTCTGAGAAAGAAGAGTGGGGAAGAACACACTGACCTCACAAACTTCTTCACAAAATCAGGGAGTGTGGGTTGGTGAGGGCAGTGGTGGGCCAGCTGGTCTGCAGCTCAACAAGACAAGCTGTCTTTCCAGTTGGGATATCCTGAAGGGGGCTAGTGGTGTCACCTGGACATCTGGCACCCACAGACCCTCCCTGCAGGCAGGTGAGTAGATGGGCAAGGGGCAGAAGGCAGGCACAGCAGGTGCACATGTGACTTGCTGTGTGGCTCTGCCCACTGTCACCTTGGGGGGCCAAGGTCCAAATGGACTCTGGTGTATCACCTCCTGTTCCTGGTCCCCAGGGACTGGGCTGCCTGTATCCCTGGGACACTGGAGTCCCTGTGCTCCCTGCCTTCACTGCTCCCTGCCCTGCAGTGGCCCGTGAGGTTCCGTGGCCACAGCACTCACACTGGAGAGGATGCTGTGCCGCTTGCTGTGGCTGCCCTGGGGGCGCCTGGGCCTGAGCGGCAGCTGGGCACTATGCCTGCCTCTCTGCTTCCTCCCTGTCTGGCACTTGGGAGCCCCCGACCCCCAGCTCCTCGCCAGAGCAGGAGGAGCCCCATGACCCAGGCTTGGCGGGTGGATGGTTCTCCCTGCATTCTTGGTACGTTCAAGGGGTACACTTTTCCTGATAGGTTTGTGGTCAGCTTTATTGAAGTGTAACGCACTTTAAAGCATACAATTCAGTGGCCTTTAACATAATTTACAGAGTTATGCATCCACCACCACCATTTTATTCATATTTATTTGCGATGAGATCTTACCTTTGTCCTCAGATTGCCTTGGGCTGCTAGCCTCAGCCTTCTGAGTAGCTAGGATTGTAGGTGTGTGCCATGGGGCCTGGCTCAGTCTCTTTTGTTTTGTTCTGTTGTATGTTAGTGTTCTGGAGACTGAATGCAGGGCTTTGTACTTAGCTACATCCCTAACCCCTCAATTTTAGTGGGACTTTTCATCCTAATAGGAAACTAAGTCCTTCTATTTGGGCAGCCCACTTTCTGTGTCTACACATTTGCCACACTGGATGTTCCACGGCCTTCTATGTAAATGGATCCAACTACATGTGGCCCTGGTGTCCAGTCTCTGTCATACACATGTGTTCTGTGCCTGCCGCGCAGACCGGGTCAGTGCCTGCACCCCTCTCTTGTGCAGTGTGCTCAGCCATGAAGTGCTGCAGTGTCTCCAGCCATAAGCTGTGCTGTTCATGTGGACACATGGATGCTGGGTGGGGTAAGGCGGCCTTTGTGGTTCTCTCAGCAGTCGCATCTGCTTTCAGGAATGCGAGGAAGGACTATATCACTGCCAAGTACATCGAGAGGAGGTATGCAAGGAAGAAGCACGCAGACAACGCTGCAAAGCTGCACAGCCTGTGTGAGGCCGTCAAGATGAGGGACATTTTTGGGTTGCTCCAAGTCTACGCTGATGGTGCAGACCTTACGGACAAGATCCCACTGGCCAATGGACATGTGAGCCATGTCTTCCTTAGGGGAAGGGGGTGGCTGGCAGCCCTGCCAGAGTAGCACCAGTTGTATAGAAAGACCCCACTGACTTGGTTGCTTCCCCCAGTTGGCAGATGATTACAGTGAGTCCCTGACTCTCAAATGAACTCTATTTGGGAAGAATTGTCTATAAGTCAGATTCTTTATAAGCTGACAAAGGCGTGGTGCCCCTTTGAGTTTGCAACCCAAAGGTGTGTGAGTTGGGGATTTACTGCATACACACTGAAGTGTCCTATATTCTGAATACCTGGGGCCAGGGCTCTTTTGGGATTTTTTTTTTCAGATTTTTAACACTTATGTAATCCTTAATGAGCTATCTTGAAGATGGGACCCAGGTCTAAATGGGAAAACCTCTTGCTTCATACATACCTGGTATGCATAGCGCAGGTAATTCTGTACAGTGCTTTCATTTTATTTATTGTGTTATTGAAGATTCAACACAGGAAGTTCATACTGAGCTACACTGTTACCCTGGCTTTTGGAGACAGGATCTTGCTATGTAATGCAGGCTGATCTTGAACTCACTGTGTAGCTCAGGTTGACTTCAGACTTACAGCAATCTGCCTGCCTCAGCCTCCTATGTGCTGGGATTATAGTTGTAGGCCACCACACTGACCTAGCCCGTGAACCCTGCTTTAAAAGCAAACCTTTCTGCATACTTTGGGAGCAGGTAAAGAGATGGATTGGATGAGGCGAAGAGAGCCTTCTCAGAAATGTTGAACAGGGCCCCTGGTTGCATTTCTGTGTTGTTGCTGCAGAGGTGCGGACTTAGCCATCCATAGACGTTGGCTGGGAAACTTGGCTTGTGTGTCTGTTCCTGCAGACTCAGGAGTAGGCCAGTCTCTAGCTCCTGTTTCCCCGGGCCTGGTGTGGTGACAAGAAGAGCACTTGGCACATTAGCGCTAAGTTTCCAGAAGACAGGGCAGAAACCTTTTGGAAGACTGTCATGTATGGTTCTACTTTGTTGGACACAAGGTTAAAAACTCCATCAGAATCACAGAATTCTTGGTTTTCAGGAGCCGGATGAGACGGGCCTGCATCTGGCAGTCAGATCTGTGGACCGGACTTCTCTTCACATCGTGGACTTTTTGGTTCAGAACAGGTGAGAGTGATAAATTCCAGCGGCCTTGCCCTGTGTCCTGGGGATTCTAAGGAGGAACAGGTGCCACCTTGATCAGCTACTGCAGTGCTTGGCCTGCAGGCTGAGAAGGAATATGGGGCCGGGAATCATTGCTGGGATGGGGTGCTGCTAGGGGGTGCTCAGAGCCCGGGAGTGCAGAACGGAAGCTCCAGAGGCGCCAGGGCTGCCTGAGCAGGAGTGACGTGTGAGGAGGTATGAGACCAGCATGCCAGCCCTGAGTCTGGGCCACACCTGGGGACCAGAGGACCGGAAAGGCTACCTACATGGTGGCATGGCCTTTCAGGTAGTGCATGAGGTTTCTACAAGTGCCCACTCCTGTCAGCTTCCACCTTCTGATACATGCTTGACGCCCTGATCATGGCTTTGGTGACTGTGTCCCGGAGTGGACTGAAGGTGTTCTCGCAGGAAAGGGAAGCTGCATGGCGTGAAAACTGATCTACACTTCCTGCTTCTCCCTGCCGTTCTCAGGCAGAGGACTGGAGAGTTGGCCAGACTGGGGAGGAGCCACGGGTCAGCCCAAGACCCACAGTTGTGTCCCCAGGTTACTGTACTTGTGGGGCAGCTGTGACTCTTGTCCTGGGAGTACCAGCCCAGCACTCGTGTCACTCCCTGGTGGCCTGGACCATGGCCTCCTGGTCCTTGCCTAGTGACCTTGGGTTCTTTGAGGGATTGGCAGGACAGGCTGTCACTGTCACCACAGCCCACCCAAGGCTCAGCATCTTTCCCTTCTCTTGTCACCACTACTGGCAGTGGGAACCTGGACAAACAGACGGGCAAAGGCAGCACAGCCCTGCACTACTGCTGCCTGACTGACAACGCCGAGTGCCTCAAGTTGCTACTGCGAGGCAAGGCCTCCATCGAGATAGGTGAGCCCTGGGAAGCTTCCATCCCTGAGGAGCTATCCAGCCTGCTCCATCCCTCTTCGGTGGCCCTGACCACTGACAACTGGCAGAGTCGGTATATTTGAGACAGGGTCTTGCTATATAAAGTACAGGCTGGCCTTGAACTTACTCTGTAGCCCAGGCTGGCCTCAAACTCAAAATGATCCTCCTGCCTCAGCCTCCCAAGTACTGGGATTATAGTTATATGCCACCATGCCCAGCATTTTAAAAATATTTTTTGAGACAGAATCTTGCTATTTAGCCCAGGCTGTCCATGAACTTGGAAGTGTTCCTCCTGCCCCGGCCTCCAAAGTGCTATAATTAGACATGCGCCTCCACACCTGGTTCTGCGTATTGATTTTAATTAGTTGACTGCTCAACAGTTTTATTTTCTCAACACAAACCTGGTCTTAAACGCTTAGCTTCTTAGCCAAGTAAGGTGGCACACACCTTTCATCCCAAGCACTTGGGAGGCAGAGGCAGGAGGATCACCTTGAGTTTGAGGCCAGCCTGGGCTACATAGTGAGACCTTAGTAGTGACACCATACTGTCTCAAAAAAACCTCTTAGTTCCTTTACTCTGTTGCACCCAGTAGAGGCATAGATAACTCTTACTAGGTCAGACCCCTGGCTGTACAAGTCGTCCATGGTTTAGCTTAGTGCTGTGCCTGCTGAATCTGTGAAATTGCCCCTGAGAGCAGGCCTGTGCTGGGTTTGCCATAGAACCTCTCTCTTCCCCTGGACTTGCAGCAAACGAGTCTGGAGAGACCCCGCTGGACATCGCCAAGCGCCTGAAGCATGAGCACTGTGAGGAGCTGGTGAGTCCCTGGTGGTGTGGATCCTGCGGCAGCTGTGACCCGGTCTGGCATGGCCTGGAGCCACCATTGCCTGGACAGGACAAGCGAAGGACTGACCTGACTAGGGTGTGGGGGTCTTCGTAAGGCAAACTGCACCCACTCAGGGATCACACTTGGTATTGTTATGCTCGCTGGCTGCAAGAGCTGCAATGGCCCTGGCCCCCTATTCCAAGCTGCCAGCTCTCAGTTGGTACCCTCACCCTGTTCTTGGGTTGCCCTGCACTTTTCCTCCAGTGGCCACCTGGGAGAGCTAGTTTGTGGTAGAGCAAGACACCCAGTCCCTCAGGCTGCTGCTGTGCGTGGAACAAGTCAGTTGTGTCACCATGCAAGGCTGCAGGGGGTGCTGCTACTGACCTGTGACATGTTCAGCGCATGGTCAGGTGCTGATCGTTAGATGGAGTAGTCAGTGCCGCCCAGGTATAGGCTCAGTAGTGGGTTCTGATGCAGAACCCACAACACTACCAGCTCATGTAGTCTCCATCCCCTACTGCAACTCTTTGTACACACAGGAAATAGGCACAGAGAGCTTAAGCTGTCAGCTCACCCCACAGGTGGTCACACAGCAACTGTAGCTCTTGGGAACAGTTCTGCCCCTTGGTGCTTATGCGCAAGGTCATAAAGTGACTTTGTACATGCAGAGCGCAGCCAATTAATTGCCTCCCCATCCTTTTGCCACATGGTCGCTGGGAAAGTAGTTGCTTAACTCTCGTTAGCTGGGTGAGTGGTAAACTTTCCCCTTGCCCCTTTGTCCCCTTGCCCTTCTGGTTGGTCACCACCCCTGGGTGCAGACAGCCCTGCCTGTGTGCTCTTTCCCCAGCCCCTGCCAGGGCCAACAAGTGTCAATTGAGGTTATCCTGTGAGTCACAAAGGGACTCCACCCCACACCAGGGATAGATGCACATCTCTCAGATGGAACACAGACTCCTGCCTCCAGCTAGGACCATCCACTGGGCTGCCCCACCACAGACACTGCCAGGGACTACTCCTGTGGCCCAGTGCACAGCAGTCCTGACTGGCCTGTTCTTCACAGCTGACCCAAGCCTTATCCGGGAGGTTCAACTCACATGTCCATGTTGAGTATGAGTGGCGGCTACTCCATGAGGACCTGGATGAGAGTGATGACGACATGGATGAGAAGCTGCAGGTCCGTGCCAGTGCCGTGTGGGGAGGGTTCTGGTGAGCTTCATCTCACGACTGAGGCAGAAAGAGAAACTCAGCTCAGTTCTGGGTTCTGCCCTTTGTATACCCTCAGGTCTCTACTCCATGCAGTTGAAAGGGCTCCCACTCCTGTGAATGTTGGCAGGTGCCATCTTTTGCTGGGAGGGGAAGGTATGGCAAGGCCTTGCATGGTGAACTTAGGATGCCACTTGAGGAGGACGGTGTTGGGAAGAGCCAGGCACCCCACAGGTGATCACAGGCCCGTGGTTGGTCACCTGCACCTGGCCAAACCTGTCAATCCTCAGGTGAATTGTCAGTGGCTCCAGTGCTTACCAGCTCCAAGCCCTGCTTCCTGGATGGGGAGTGGGTGCCTCAAGGGACAACGAGGCCAAGGGAAGCAGCTGTTATTCGGTAGCCTGGAATGAGACAGGGCTCTCTGCTGCCCTGAGTCTCTGCCATGTGTTCAGGGGAGGCCCAGGGAGTAGTTACCTTCCCCCAGTCTCTCAGCAGAGAGGTCAAACCTGGGCAGGGTCCCTCCAGTTTCAGCGGTGACCTTGATCTCCATGGCAGCAGGCCAGAAGTGTTCCATGCTATTGCTGTGTAGGACTCTTGTGCTCTGGTGATAGAACCAGAGAATTTTGGTTAGAAAGGAGCAGTGCCAGAATTAACAGGGCCTAGTTAATAGCATTTCTTAAGCCCATTGGATTAGCCTGGTTCATGAAGCAGGCAATAGCTGTACTTGGTGTTTCTTAGAATACAGAATAAAAAATCTCATCACTGCATTATGAACACAACACAGTGCCAAAGGGAGCTGGCTTGTTTTTATTTACAACCTTTGAAAAACCACAGTTTGAGCACTGTGGGAGGTTGAGGCAGGAGGATTGCTGCCAATTTCAGGCCAGCCTAGGCTAGATAATGAGTTCATGGCCAGTGACCCAGGCTTTGAGTCATATCAAGATCCTGTCTCAAAAAACAAAACCACTTTGGCAAATGCAGGGACCAGGATTCAATTTCTGGTCCCACACAATGCACCAGCCCTGTCCCCGGGGGACATGCTGAGCCTCAGCAGAGTCCGGGCGTGGTGGTGCACGCCTGTAATCCCAGCACTGGGAAGGCTGAAAACAGGAGGATCACAAATCTGATCTGTGTAGTTGAGACCCTTTATCAAATACACAAAAATGAAAAAACAAAAAACATGGGGGACCACCCACTTGGGGGCCCTCCTCCTGTCCCTCTCTCGGACAGGAGCTTTCTTTCCCTCAATAAATATATTCTGCTCAAAAAAAAAAAAAAAAAAAAAACAGCACATAGCCCCACAGTTTGAACCCCTTGCCCCAGACCACTGTTTTGAGTATTCTTCAAGACATTCCTGTCTTAGGAGCAAGGGAAGAAGTGGGCGACGACCGCAGAGGACAGCAGCAAGGTCTCAGCTCAGGTGGAGTCCAAGCCTCACCTCCCAGAGGGTGCAAGGTGTGGTGGCCTCCCAAGTTGCCTACTGCTGAGCTCTGTATCCTTGAGCTGGGCTAGGCTGGGCCAGGCCATATGCCTGGATTAGCCACAGCCTGAAGTGGTTGGAGGTCCTATGAAGGGCACGGGTAGTACTGAGCTACTGCCTGGCCTGTGGCAGTGCGTGGGTGCGGGTGGCAAAGGCTGCACCAGTAGAGGAGGCGTTGGCAGCTCAGCAAGGCCATGGGATGTGCTCAGTCATGGCTAGGTGCTGGGGTCAGCCTTTGAAAGGTGAGTTGCATCTAAGTCACCAAGCCATGGCTTAACCCACATGACTTTCCAGTAAAGCCAATGTGGAAAAAACCCAATAAGGCTTCAGGCTCATGAGTCTGAAATAGCAGTTTTTATTTCAGCTACTTAGCTTTGCCAGAATGGCTTAGAGGCAGCCAGAAACCACCTATAAATGACTAGTGTGGCTGTGGTTTTATAACATGGATGGCAGGCCAGCTCATCTGCCATACAGAAGAGGCTCTGAAGCTCCTGTACACGTGGGAAGGGAGAAAGCATTGGTCCTTCCTCGGTTAGCCTGGGAGCTATCACGGATGGCTTGTGGCTGGGTGGCCAATATCAGGAAGATTGGAGGTCTCTTTCAGAGATGCGTGGAGCAGCTCCCACCTGCCCTCTCTCCTACATAGCCCAGCCCCAACCGGCGAGAGGACCGACCCATCAGCTTCTACCAGCTGGGCTCCAGCCAGCTTCCACACAGTGCCACATCTTTGGCCAGAGACACTGCCGGCCTCACCAAGGACAAGCCAAGGAGCTTTGTGCCAAGCATCCTGCAGAACGAGACCTACGGAGCTGTCCTGAGCAGCAGTCCTCCACCACCATCCCAGCCCACAGCTCCCAGCACCACCGGTGCCCCCCCACTCCCACCACGAAACCTTGGCAAAGGTATGCTCCTGCTGTGCCCAGAGTGTGTGGGCCATCAGGTTTGGGCTTCTAGGAGTTTGTTGCTGCTTCACCTAACCCATGACATCAGAAGCCTTCTGGAAGCCATTTTCCCTTTGCTTCCTCAAAGGCTCCTCATGCTCCCTATGCCAGGGTGGGCAGCGGTCTTGTTCCCAGCAGATGTGTGGTGGCCAGGTGCTCAGGGTGCAGTGGACTGCCTGGGTGACAGTTACCACTGAGCTGGTGGGATACTCTGTGTCCCTGACCACTGTGTCTTTCTGCCTTGCCCCACTCCTCACTCCCCCTACACCTTGGCTTCTCCTTTTTTCCCTTCTGCCTGCATCTGGATCAGCTCCAGCCCTGCCCCTCCTGTTTGTCTTTTTTTTGTTTCCTGTTTTAATGAATTTAGTACAGAGTCTACAGGGTCTCACTGCACAGATCGGACTCATAGCGATCCTCCTGTTTTCAGCCTCCCAAGCACTGGGATTACAGGCACACACCACCATACCCAGTTTCAATCACTCTCTCAGCATGCCCCGGGGGCAGGGCCAACACAACAGGCTGGGGTCAAACCCTGGCCACTGCGCTCTGCCTAAGCAGGCACTTTAGTCTGCTGAGCTACCGGGCCAGCCCTTTGTTACTTTTCCCTGAGATCTTGTGAAATGAGGGCGGAAATCAGAGTGGGGGGGGGCTGTCCCATGGTGAAAAACAGAGCCCCTGGGGCCATCTAGGCCTGAAATGCCAGAAGCTCACCCCTTCCTGGCCACTGAAGCACGGTGCAGCCAGTGGGGCTCCACAAGGGATTTGTTTCTGCAAAGATAGGACCTGAATGCCCTGAAGATTGGGTAGTTTGTTCTATGGCAGAGCTCAGCTGGGCTCTGCTCCTGAGTAGCCCCAGGCAGTGGCTGGCAGGGGCCACTTGGGCTCAGGTATCTAAGCCTCTGTGGAGCTGGTACCCAGGCTCGATGGGTTGGTACAGCACCTGGGGCATGGGATTGTGCTGATGAAGGGATGGTGGCCTGGAGCCAAGGGGCAGTGCTGGCCAAGAGTTGGCTGTAGGCATGAACAGACACCCTGTGCCGTTGCCATGTATATCCTTGGCAGTGTGGCTGGGTCCCTTGGTCCTGGCTGTCTTGGGGACACTCCTATAGAATTCCACCTCATTACTTAGAGCAATGATGATGACCCCATCGTGCAGGTCACTGGGTCCCTGCTGTAGTCAGGCCCAGGACACAGCCCTACAGCTTGGGACAGCCTCATGCCAGGCTGGGTGAGGACCCTGGGCAGGGCGGGCAGGCCCAAGTTGTCCTCACCTCACTGGACTGGTACCTGCCGTGCACTCTACCTCCTCCATCCTGGAAGTGCATGGTGTCAGGAGGCCAAGCACATCCCCACTTGAGCTTGAGGTGTGCATGGTGGTCATACACATGTAGAGGAGAAAACTAGTTTGTTGGTTTGGCCCTAGAAAAAGAATACTGAGCTCTCAACCTTGGCTGCTTGGATCCGGGTTGGACAGTTTTGTTTCTTCTGGCTTCTGGCTGTCCTTGGCTTCTGCTTCCTTTTCTTTGGAGAATGCTTCCCCTGCACTGGGCCAGCCACCTTTGGTGTCAGGGTAGATTCCCACAGGACAGTGGCAGGGAGGGCAAAGGTGCCATTGGGTCTGCCCCAGACAACCTGGCGTTCACAGGAGACAGAGACCCTCCAGACTCAGGCCTGGGACACAGGTCTACTCTGTGCACCATGGGCGGCACTCATAACCCTTCCACTATAGGTCAAGGGCTTGGGAAATGCCATCTTTGGGGTCCAGAGCCAACCTTGGCAGCATTTGCAAGCAGGTGGGTCAGCCCTTCCCCATGGCTACAGGCAGCACTGTGGGGAGAGCATGTCCCCCATGTGGCCAGTCCCCAGCCCATAGGAAGATGCAGCTAAAGGACAGACTCCAGTGGGAGCTACCTCTATAGGTCCCACTACAGTGCTCAGGAGAGGAAATTGTGCTAGTTATTGTCCTCTTTGAACAGTATTACTTCTGAGACGTGAAATCAGGAACTTGAAATTGACAGGAGTTGGATGTGGTGGCACACACCTGTGAGCCCAGCACTCAGGAGGCTGAGGCAGGAGAATCATGAGGAGGTCAAGGCTAGCCCGAAGTGTACAGGCCCTGCTTACAAAAATAAAACACACGTATGTGAACTTGGACAGATTGGGAAAGGCAGCAGGGAACATTCCCTGGCCCATCAGCCTTCCAAACAGTAGAGACAAAAGTTCAGGGTTCTATCTGCTGCCAAAGAAGGAGCACAATGACCATTTTGTAAGGGAAAGGATCAATAACAGTGTTTTATTTCTGTTTTTGTTCTGTGTGTGTGTGCGCGTGCCTGTGTACGTGCGTGGGATCAGTTCAGACAGCCTCCTCAGCTAACGCCCTGTGGAAGACAAACTCTGTAGGTGTGGACAGTGTCAGCAGGCAGCGATCTTCGTCAGATCCGCCAGCTGTCCGCCCACCGCCGCCCCCTCTTCGAGGGACATCGACCAGTACGTTTTTTTTCTTTCTGTGGGCTCAGATCAGATGACATGGGGCGTTGTTGGCAGCCATCTGGAGAGGCAGCTAGGGATGCACACCTGCGTGTGCGTGCACACACGCCCACACTCAACACCCGTGGCTCCACCCTCTGGCCTCTATCTCCAGTGCACTCCATGGCTCGCTCCCTCTTTGCTGTCTTGCAGGGCATTTCAGCAGCACTTCTTCCTCCACCCTATCCCAGGGCCTCTACTGCCCCTGTCCATGTGGTGATGTTCAGTATTTCGGGACAGTCATTGCTGTCACCATCTCTGTGTTCTGTTCAATGCCAGCATATGGCTCAAAGTCCCCTAGGCCTCTGGGAGAGGCATTGGGAAGGCACCTTGCTCTCAAATACAGAACCAAGCATCCCCTAGAACTGGCCTGTCTGCCTAAGCTGTGACGGGGGAGTCCTGCAAGTCTAGGGGTTCCTGTTTGCCATGTAGAGAGGACTCTTCGGCCAGGGTGCTTGTGGCTTCCTTTACATAGTTAAATAGCTAGCCATGGTGGGGCACACCTGTAACCCAGCATTCAAGAGGCTGAGGCAGGAGGATCTCAAGTTCAAGGCCAACCCGGGCTATGTGGTGAGTTCCTGGTTGACCTTGACATAGACTGTGTCTCTAAAAAGTTTATTTAAGAAGTGGCTCAGCCACTTTGAATGCTGTGTGAGCAGTCACTAGTGTCAGCCAGGGGCAGTGTGGTGGGGGGAGTACAGGTCCAGCTGAGACACCCTCAGGGCGATCAGCAGGGGACTCAATCAGCCTCTCAGGCTGCTGTCCCTGGGCTGATGAAAGAGCTGGAATCTGTTTTTGGCTTAACAGTGGGAAAAAAAGAAGAGCTAGGCATGCCTGTCATCCCAGCACTTGGGAGGCTGAGGCAGGATTGCTACAAGTTTGAGACCAGACTGGGCTACATAGCGAGGTCAAGGCCAGCCTGATCTGTATAATGAAATTCTGCCTTAAAAAAAAGAAAAGAAAGAAAAAAAGAAAAGCAAGACCATAGACTCCTTCATTTTTTCCAACCTCATGGTCCCTCTTTGGTCACCAAAGACCTGGTCCTCACTGATTTGTCCGTGCCTGTGTTAGCTCCCATCCTGAGACAGCCACCACACGTGAGGGATGGCACTTCCCCTCCGAGACTGGGGAATGAGCACCTTCTCTGCTTGCCCATGGCCCAGGGACCTTGATGGGGCTGCACTCACAGTCCCCAAACACGGCCCTGCTGGGCATCCTGGTAGGATGGGCAGGGCCTCAGTGGTGCTAGGCCAGCTCGGGCAAGGCCCAGCTGGCACTTGATCCAGGCTCTGCTCCCAGGTCCTCACTGAACAGAAGGGTCCCATTGTACCTTGGGGCCTAAGCTGGCTGGTTTTCAGAGATTGGGCAAGGGGTCAGACAGGAGTGTGTCTTGGGGGAGAGGTCTTGGGCAGAGCTGGGTGCATAGCGCAGAAGCTGAATCTCCACCTCTCGCTCCTCTCTGCAGATCCCCTGACCTCAACACCACCCCCTTCTGTGGCGAAGCCACCCGGTGTGCTGGACGCCCTGGGTCAACCGAGCAAGTCTGCACCATCCTCAGCCTCGCAGAGCAAACCCCTGCCACCCCAGCCACCCAGCCGTTTGCAGCAAAAGAAGCCAGTGCCCGGGTAAGTGCTGCCCCAGCCCCCTGCGCCCAAGGGCTTCCAGTGATGGGCCATTCCTCCACCTGCCTGGGGTGTGTGTGTGTGTGTGTGTGTGTGTGTGTGTGTGTGTGTGTGTGTTGAACTAGGATTTGGGTATGTAGTTCATGCTGGCCTAGAATTTACACTGGTCGTGAACCTATAGCAATCTTCCTGCCTCAGCCACCTGAATGCTGGGACTATAGGCATGTGCACCATCACACCTAGTGTGGCCTCTCTCAGAACACTGGGAAACACTCCCATCCCCAATACACACACACACACACACACACACACACACACACACACACACCCCTGCCTCCATAGCTTGAGGACAAGTGTAGTGTCATTTGTATCTCAAAGGGGTTAAAGTACCTGCTTCAAGACATTTCAGCTATGGAAACTTACAAAAGGATATCTTGAAACCATACAACAGGGAGCAAGGGAGATAGCTCAGTGGAATTAGTGCTGTGCCTGGCAAGCACAAGGTCCTGAGTTCAATCCTGGTACCACCAAAACAAACCCCCCCCCCAAAAAAAATTCTAAATTCAGTATAATGAGTCGCTAGCTCACAAACATTTGAGTGGCACATTTCACAGGTGTGCTGTGTAAGACTCACTCTCGTCAGAGGACAAGCAAAATAGACTTCCAAAGGTTGTCCCAGGACAGAACTTGCTCATGAGTCAGGACTCACTGTCTTATCTCTGTACTCTGGTTTTGTTCATTTTGTGCAGTCTGGAGTGGAACTGAGTTAGACTTTTGGGTTGGGTGGTGCAGACACTGGTATGTGGATGTGGGCCCTCCAGGCTCTGCCTGCTGCCCACTGGAAGGATTCTTGGGGCCCAGGAGCCGACATGGGCCTCCTTGGACACAGCGCCACCAGCAGTCACTCCTCACACCTGTTCTGGGCTTCGCCACTTGTCAGAACAAAGTCATTTTTTAGTTCTTCCCCCTAAAACCAGCTCTGTCTGTTGGACAGCGTGTTCGGGGTTTTTTTTTGTGGAAATGCTGTCAAGAAGCCTGCATCTAGGTGCTAAGTAGAACCAGGAAATGCACATGTGCGCATACTGTGCTAGCGTGCGTGCCTGCGTGCACCCCTATACATGGATACACATACAGGCCTGTAAGTCTGTATTCTGGTTTTGTTTTTTGCAGTACTGGGAGTGTAAGCCAGGGAACACTAAGCTACATTCCCAGTGCTTAGAAAACCTGCAGAACTTTTTATGAGCTACTTTGCAAGGCATTTTTCTAAGTACAGTATGCGTGTCATGCCTGCATGCCTCGTCTCAGAGGTGGAAATTACTGAGTGGTTGTTGTAGTCAATTTGCAAAGGAGACAGTTTAATACAGGACGCATCATTTATAGCATTATTTTATAGTAGCCACCCAAAGAGTCAAGTACAAATGAGTGCAAGAAATCTGTCCACACACTGAAGACCCAGAGAATCCAGCTGAGGGCCTGCAGTCCATGGCAGTATCCCGCATGAGTCCCACCGACGACCTAGAGTCCTTGGCAGTGCCTCCCCTAGTCCAGCCAGCGGCCTAGAGCCCACAAGGTCTTGTGCAAGTCTATTTCACGCCTCTGCACTTGGAAGACCTAAAAGTCAGCAGTAGAAGCTGGAAGGTCTGCAGCAGCAGGCTAAGGGATGTGCACTGGAGCCAGAAAGCAATGCTCAAGGAAAGACCAGAGCTCCCCCAAAGAGAACCAGAGCCCTCCTCAGTGACAGCAAGGATCGAGCTGCTCCGGAGACAAGAGTAGCCGAGTTTATGTCAGGAACACCAGCGTGATTCTCCTGGAGAGTCAACAGCACACCCTTTTCCCCTCCAGTTCTCCTTTATATTTTGTTGGCAGCAGTCCTCAGGTGGGCACCTGGACTCCAGCACCATCTAACCCAGTTCAAGTGGGTGTTCTGAGCTGACCACCAGGCAGACAGCGCCGTGGGGCTGCCCTGAACGGGCAAGAGTGCTTACCTCTGCACCACACAGCCACCCTCGGGCTGTGCTGTGAGGGGTCTAGGCTGCATTGAGTCCTGTCGCTCCTCGTGCTGTCTCCCAATGAGGGCTTTCAAGCTGCTGTTGCTGTTGTTGGGGAGGCCGAGTCGCGTCACAAAGCTCTGAGTGAGAAATAGCTGGGTCTGGGCACCCGCCATGTACCTGCACATGGGGTGCTGGCTGGCATGTGTGAGGCCACGTGTGGGATCTGGCCATGGGGCAGGAGCGCAGAGCTGGTGATGACACTGGGCGGCTGTAGGGTCGATTCCCAGAGGAGCCCGAAGGTGGCTGAGTCACCATGGAAACCCTGGCCCTCCCCATCTTAATTCTGACCATGGGCCAATCTGATGGCACAAGGCTGCTGGCTGGTTGCATCCACCACCTGTTGCTCTGTGGTCCATGAGCCCTCAGTGGCTCCCAGACTTCAAAATGGTTGAAAGCAAGCAAAAGGAGACTGCTACATGACATGGGGGAATTATGTGGCATTTAGGCTTCAGGGTCATAGATGAGGTCTGCTGGGCATGTGGCCATGTGTATTCATGCAGCTCCTGTGGCTGCTGGCCTCCTCAGTCACTCATAGCCCAGGCAGTTGACCTCACAGCCCACAAATCCTGAAAAACTCACCACTTGACCCTTTGAAGAAAGACACTGCAGACAGTGGTCTGCTGGGAGCGTTTGGCGCTGGGGTGACTCCCGGCCATCAGGCTGGGGTCAGCCTCATGATGTCTGCTGAGGCGTGTACACCCAGAGAGGATGGAGATTAAACGATGGCACCATATTTCGTGGGCCTCCTTTTTAGGCCTTTTCAGTTCCTTAAAAATAAGAACAGATGGTACTGGGTGTGGTGGGACACATCTGTAATCCCAGCACTGAGGAGGCTGAGGATCACTGTGACTTCAAGGCCAGCCTAGGCTACCTAGCAAGATCCTCTCTTTTCAGAAAAGTAAGAATAAAACTAGCCGTTATGATTTCTTGCCTTGGTTCTTTTTTTTTTTTGCAGAACCTGGGATTGAACTCAGGCCCTTGCACTTGCCCGGGAAGCGCTTATTCCACTGCGCCATGTCCCCGGCCCCTTCCCCCTGGTTCTTGAGACTGCAGACACCAAGACTCAGACGGGCAGGTCTCAGGCAGCAGGGAAGGGACGTGCGGTGGAAAGAACCCCAGCTGGCTTCCTCCCAGCCTCCTCTGCACAGAGTTCTCTTGCCCATTGAGCTTTGTCCTTGCCCTTATTTCTGCTGAGCGTGTCTTCACAAAGCCGCCCCTGTATTCTCAGGCTACGTAGCTCTCTCGGGAGCCTGCACCACGTGGCCATGCTGGAGCTGGAGCTGGAGCGCACCAGGCAGGCCTGGCCCTGCAGTCATACTGCTTCCCAGCAGCAGCGCCTGTGGTGCTGGGCCAGGTCCTGGCTCCACAGGGGCAGGAGAGATACAGGCAGGGGCGCTGTGGAGGAGCCCCAGCTTTAGGATCCAGGAGCCACGGACACAGCACTCTGATGCGGGCCTTTCATCCCTTCTCCAGGACGAAAAGTGGCTGGGTGGCAGTGGGTGAAACTGGGGACAGGGCCTGGTGCTATAGGGGATGAAAATAGGGCAGCAACCTTTGCATGAGTAAGTCTGCTTTCTCCTCTACAGGGCCGACAAGCCGACCCTGCTGGGCAGCAAAGGCCAGCCAAGAGGACCGGGTAATTGTTGACTTTTTATTTTTATTGGCCTACATGTACAGTACCCAGTGATCCAGTCCTCCAGGGAGTGGATCCATGCATACAAGCATCTTAATTCTTTTTACCTCCCTTTTGAGAATGAGCTTGTGAGCTACCATGGGTTGTGCCCTTTCATTATTTGCTATGAGGCGGGGTTTGTTTCTGCTCAGCTTGCAGGAGGCAGATTCTAGGCAGGAGCTTGGCCTGGCTGCCGACAGCCTCTTTGGGACCCGGGCTCTTGTTCTGAGCTTGGGGCCTCCTCTTTGCTGTGAGTTCCCACTTAAATGCCCATTATGCACACTCTGGAAAGGCAGAAGGGTCTGTGGACTTTTGGGGGTCCTACATGAGCTTTAGTTCAGGCCTTACCCTGGCTCCTGTGGTCACTGCTTCCTCCCATGGTACGAGCCATGAGGCACCTGGTAGACATGCTCTCTTCAGCACTAAAACAGTTGTTCTCTCCGGAACAGAAGCTGCGGGTCCCCTGCCCAATGCTGCAGCCCTGCAGCCACCGGCACCCATGCCCAGGAAGTCTCAGGCGGTGAGTGGACACCTTGCTCTCCTACCCTGTCTGAACCATGAGGTCCATGCCCAACTCCTTCCACTTCCCCAGCCGGTCAGGGGCCACTGGGAGCTTGTTGTATCATTCCTGGCTTTGTCCAAGGCCGTTGTTAGCTGAGGCTCCCGTTCGTCTCCCTGATCTGGAACTGCACTGAGCTGCACTCCCTGGGCTTGGGCCAGACCAGAAGCCTGTGTCAGGCCTCTGTCCCCCAACCTCTGTCCCCCATCCTGGCACAGGCCAAAGTGAAGCCCAAGCGGGTCAAAGCGCTTTATAACTGCATGGCCGACAACCCAGATGAGCTGACCTTCTCTGAAGGGGACGTGATCATTGTGGATGGGGAGGAGGACCAGGAGTGGTGGGTAAGTCCAGCTGTGCCCACCTCATGATGACCTTCCCCCAACCCCCCCAGCTCTACCTGCACCATTGTCCTAGCACCCCAGGTTCCCTAGCTGGATGTACCTCCAAGAGCCCTGGCTCATCTCCATGTGGTGGGTAGTGTCCAGAGCATACACAAGGGCCCGAGACAAGACCCCTGTTCCTTGGGGCCCTGTGTGGGGCTGGAGCAGGCACTGGAGATGTGGGGAACCCTCAGGGCCCTGGATTCAGCCTCAGTCCCTGTCCCCATCCCTAACAGAGCCTTGGTGCTCTAGCTTGAGATCTGTACCTCTAGGGCCCTGTAGCCAAGACTCCTCCCATCTTTCTAGGGGATGAAAAAGCATCTGTCAGCCAGGCTGCCTCCCCACCAGCTTGCTGAGCCTGGGAGGCTGCAGACCTATAGCTGTGTCCTCACATGAGACCCTTGGGAACGAACCTCTTCTCCTACCAAGTGCCCGCCAGGAGTCATAACCATGAGCTTTGGTCATTCCAGATCGGCCACATTGAGGGAGATGCCAGCCGCAAAGGAGCCTTCCCTGTGTCATTCGTGCACTTTATCGCTGACTGAATTGCCATCAAACACAGCCTTTCCTCAGCTGTCTTGTTCTGGACTCATCCTTGGTACCAAAACTTTCTCCACGTCACCACCCTCACTGAGCGCACTGCAGAGCAGCAGGTTCTCTGTCTTCCCACCGTTGTTTTAAAACCCTGAAGGTGATTTTTACATTTAAATGAATTGTTTTTGTATTTTACAATTTTGATGAAATGTTGCTCTACTTTCAGTAGGGAAGACTAAGTTTCCTAAGGTGAAATGAAAAGTTATTTTAATTACATAATCAAGATTTGGCCTTGACAGGGAGCTAACACTAAAATGTTGAAATGAAGACAATTGGAATTCTTCCTGCTTTCCTTGGTCCATCTGATTTTAGAGTTATTATTTTAAGAAGCCAATAAACTGCCACTCTAAATAAAAGCCCACAGCCAGCCACACATGGTGGCACAGGCCTGTCATCCCAGCATGCTGGGAGTGTGAGGCAGCTGGATCCCAAGTTTGCCCCAGCCAAGGCAGCTTAGCCATTTACTAAGACCCTGTCTCAAAAATAAATAGATAAATAAATAAATAAAAAAGAGCCAGGAATGTAAGCTCAGTGCAAAGACGCTGAGTTCAATTTCAAGTCCTTAGCAGGGAGAAATGAAAATATTTTATGGCATGTGCAATTATGTGAAGTTCAGATTGCACTGCTCGTGAGCCAGGCTGTGTCCACAACCATGCTTAGGATTCCTGTCCGTTCCCCTTTAAAGATACATACTCCCCGCAAACCCACTCAATGTCTGCAAAAGCAGCTTGGGGATTTACACCTCAACAACCTTCCTCCATGCCCTGCCCTGCACGTGACCCGTGTCATGAACAGTCACACTCAGCCAAGCTTCTGGTGGCCCCTGACACCCTACAGGAATAGTTCATTTCCTTTCCTGGTTATAGCAAACCACTTCACGGATTGAGTGAAAACCAGTGATGAACTGCAGAAGTTATTTAACGCAGCTGATGTGCTTTCTGTGTTCCCCCATTTGCCTCGGTTCCCCCAGGTCACGAAGCAGCAGTGCTCCTGCTGCTCTCTGCCTCGTGTGCCACTGGCTACCCTTTCTAGCCCCCAACAACGTCCCTAGCTTAGCGTCTCATATCTATAGAATACTTGGATGGAATGGTCACTCCCGTCTTGACATGTACTTGTCCATTTGTACTCAAGAACTGTCAGAAATCAAGGTCCCGGGAATGCAGTGCTCCCACACACCCATCTGCCTACTTAAGGCCATGGATGTCACTTAACCTACACTACTGGGGGAGGGGGAGGGGGTTAGGTTGTGTAAGAAAATCCCACCTCATTAGCATAATGAACTTGACTGTCACACCTCTACTGGTCATTGTATCAGATCCATAGTCGGAGGGAAAGCTTGGCCATCTTTCGGAATAAGCAGGCCTGTGATGCCCACTTGGAACTTTGAATGAAGTAAAGGGATAACGTAATAGGTGCATAGGTGCAGGAAGCAAGGTGACCACGCCATGTGGCATTAGTTGCAAAGGCTCATTTGATCAAAGCAGCAGTCTTCAGGGTGCAAGACTCGTAAGTGTGGAGTTTTAAAACAAATTTTTTTTTTTTTTGTCATTGTTCACCCTGATAAAGAATGAACAAACTGGAATGTTTTAGGATGTCGTATAGCCGTTGCTTTTTGCCTTTCAACATTCCAGGTAAATATGTATTAGACCTATAAAGTCTTTTTGTTTTTAAAGCACTACACCTAATTTCACTACTTGTTACTTTCCGCTCTTTGAACCCTTTGTTGAGTCAGTTTTCTGAGATTTAGGAGCATGAGCACGTGCATCAGGCACTGCGCACGGCTCCGTGTTTCTGACGCCTGGCGCCAGTGATGTGAGAAATCAAGCTGATTCACATCAGCACTCGAACTCCAGCCCCAAACTCGGCTTCCAGCCCACTGGCACAGACATGCCCGGGAAGTATTTTCCCAGCCAACAACTTGGTGGCGCTTACAAGGAGCCATGCGTGGCAGACAGGCCTCTTGCCCAAGGAGAGATCCTATTTACATCCCCTTAATCTTTTGCGAGTTATTTGCTCTTGGCAAACTGGAAAGAAAGGAAAAAAGAAAAAGCAAACCTGAGAGAAAGGAGACACTGTAGATATCTATTTATATTTAAAGTTTACATTTCATATGAACTTCAGCAGCAGGGTTCTGCCGTCTGTGTCAGCTCCCATGGATCTGACCTGCAGGGAGGCAGGCGGCTCTGCAATCAGGTGGCAGCAGGTAGCTCCTGCGGTCGGAGGGTGGCTCGCTATGCAGCCTGGATGATGCGATTTTGAGATGTATTATATTCAGTCCACTCACTCAATGACTTCGGTCTAGTTGCAGCGCAACTGTATATATTGTATAACTGAAATTGATTATTTTCATTGTTCTTACCACAGTGATTTATAATTAGAGCATGTTTAATAAAGTTGACTCTCCTTGTCAACAAGTCATTTGACTGGAAGAAAAATAAAGTACTTTTAAATGGATACAGTTTTATTTCTAATGTTTTTAGTCTTTAAAGGTATTGATGAGCTGTTCTAATGTTTTTAGTCTTCAAAGGCACTTTGCCTGCTGAGGCAGATGAAGGGGCTGGAAGTTTCATCCCCTGGCCTGCCAGCCGGCCCTGCCCCCAGGGCTCACTGAGATGAGATTGAGACTGGGCTTGGTGGCGAATGCCTGTAATCCCAGCACTTGGGAGGCTGTAAACAGAAGGATCACTAAGAGTCCGATCTCCACAGTGGGACTTTGTACACCCTGTCCTAGATACAAAAAAAAAAAAAGTACACTTGTACACTGTCTTGTACACTTGTACATTTAGATCCTGTAAATGCTACTTTTAGCACAAGCAAGTGGTATTCTGAGATTCTTTTTAACACTGAGGTTTAATGTGACCTGACAGTGTGCATCTGAAAACTTTCTTTACGTGACTTAAGATGCTGTCACTGCCCCACCTCCACCTTCGGGCAGTGACATCTTGTCCCTGGGAGGCCACACTGGCAAGGGCAGGCTTCACTGTGGTCCAAGGTGTGATTACAGTGAACTTCTGGGGCACTTAATTACATTCTCAAATGAAGGTTTCCTTTTATCCCAGAAAACAGTCCACTGAGCATTAACTCATTGTATATTTTAATGTGATTTTAAAAAATGACTGGTATATTATACATTGCACTTCCTTTGGAGAACTGGGCCAGCACTTCCCTTCCTGTTTCCCTAAGAGTTCAGCATCACAGATGGAAAACACAACAATTTTGAAAGCAGCTGGACATTCAGATGAGGCTGGCTCTTGCCGGGCTAGAGTTCAGGACTTCTCCGAGGTCAACACAGAGTCAAACGCACTGGATAAAACCTTGCAGATGGCTTGTGCTTGCTCCTGTGTTACAGAAAAGATTCTGTGAGGGCAGAGTCGACACATCTTGTCCCGGGCTTCCTGAGGTCAACAGTCACGTCCATCCCTCCCAAACCTGAGCATCCCACACACCTGTGCAGGCGCACCCGATATACAGCCTGCATCCCCCCCAGAGCAAAGGGTAGACACTGGCGGCACCGTGGAGGGTGCCTGGCCACACACTGCTTATGTCACCTAGCTGAGAGATAATCCTGGGCGGAAGCAGATGCTTCGCAGCCTGAGCCAGGGCAAGCAGCCAGCTGGCCCGGCCTCTGGGAACCATTCAATCTGAGCTGGTATGGGTCCTGTTACCATGGGCTCCCCCCGCCTGTGAGAGGGTGTGAAAAGCTTCACTGTTGCCACTTGGTGACTCCAGGGACCCCGCCAGGGTGACCAAAGCCCTCACCAGGCTGCTGCACTGGTAAACCCACAGGCTGTACTCCTCATTGCTGGCATCTGTAGTCTTGAGAGCCAGCAAGCTCTTGCCTGCGCCCAGGCCATCATCGTAGCATACCATGCGCATGATCAGGTACAGAGCGTGCCGGTGCAGCACATCCTGCAGAAACCCGAGACAGATGTTTAACGTCCTCGCATTCTCCATGCATGAACCATGATGCCACATGTCATGATGCAAGCCTGTAATCCCAGCTCGAAAGGTGGCCAAAGTGGGAGGCTCACAAGTGTGAGTCCCGCCTGGGCAACTCAGACCCCTTCTCAGTAAAGGGAACAGATGTAGCTCAGTGGCAGAACACCCCTGGATCTGATCCTCAACCCCGCAAAGGAGAGAGTGTTGCGAGACTTTAACCAGGACACCACAGATCGGGCAGAAAGTAGCTGGTAAAGTTTCTCACCCCAATGTACACTGGGATGCTCGGTAACAGGGCACCTTGCACTACGGATCGATCACACCTTCCAACTGAACCCCCCAAAAGATGACCAGAGGGTGTGAGCTGCATGCTCATCTCTGCCACTTCCCAAGGTGACAGCTACTTCTGTTTTGTTTTTGTGGTACAAGGACAGACTTGGGCTTGTGCATGCAGGGCAGTCACTGTACCTTGAACTCCACCCAGCCCTTTATTCTGTTTGAGACAAAGTCTCTTTTTCTTTTTCTTTTTCTTTTTTTTTTTGCGGTACCGGGGATTGAACTCAGGCCCTTGCACTTGCCAGGCAAGCACTTATTCTACTGAGCTGTCTCTCCGGCCCCAAGACACAGTCTCACTGTGTTACCAGACTGGCAGCGAGGCTTGGGATCCTCCTGCTTCGGTCTCCCAGATAGCTGGGATTGCAGGCCTGGGCCACTGCACTAAGCAGTGGCAGTGTGGGGTGGGGTGCAGTATGGGGACTGGTTGTGTTCACCCTAAGAAACTGATCATGCTCTAGCTCAGCCAGCAGCCAGCCACTCAAACAGGAGGCCCAACCCAATTCCACGCAACCTTCTAGGCCTGAATCGCCCAGTTCCGAAATTCCAGTCAGTTCCTTACTTACATACTGGTCCGACGTGGACACTTTGATGCCATACTTGGACACACCCATAACATATTCTTCCTCCAGTGGGACAAAAGGCAGCTTTCCATCTTGCTTTAAAGTCAAAACCATTACAACATGTACATTAAAATTCTGTTAGTCTCAAGCTGGATGAGTCCTTCTAGTATGTGCTCCTTATGATCCTACACACTTTAGACTTCGAGTACCTATTAACCAAGCACAATTTCTCTCCTAAGGGGCACTGAAAAACTCACCATTTAAACAAATGTTTGTATCCCACAAATCTAAGAATTGACATCAGTTTACTTTTTTGTTTCTTATCTTTGGGGAGTTTTTTTGGGATGGTCTCGCTATGCAGTTCAGGCTGCCATGAGCTCACTTTGTAGCCCAGGCTGATCACAAACTCCAACAATCCTGCCTCTGTCTCCCAGGTGCTAGGATTAAGGTATGGTCACCACACCCGGCCATTACTTTCTAGTTTTTTGGACATAGGGTCTTGCTAGAGTTCAGGCTGACCTTGAACTCACTACAGAGCCCCGGCTGGCCTCAAACCTATGGCAATCCTGCCTCAGCCTGCCAAGTGCTGGGATGACAGCAGTGTGCCCAGCTTGATGTCCATCTTCGTTTGCGTGTTGTTCTGTCTCAGTGTGAGCTTTAGTTCCAAAGTGAGATACCTCATAGATCTCTTAGCAGAATAAAGGTTTTTATTTAGATTCTGAAGTATAATCCTAGAGGTGTCAGGGCTTGAACCATACTTCTCAGTCATTTTCCACCCTACCCAGATGGACAGGCAGAGCTGGTGTCCCCAGGCTGAACACAAGTCCCCTTGGCTCACAAGCACATTTGCCAGCATCCTGAACTGTTTGGAAACAAATCAGGATGCGCCAGCGGGTGGTTTCCCAAGCAGGTTACCTGGCTGTATCTCCTAAGACAGAATGTGGCCTAATTTTTCTCTAAAATATATTAAGATGCAGTCAGTAGATGGAGAGGTTTCTCTGGAATAATGACAGTTACAGGAAATGAACTCTGTCCAAACACCTTAACCTTGGCTCCGCACAGTATTACGGTAACTTCTTGCTGATCATTTCTCACAGGTTTAGTGCAGTCTCAAGAATCAAAACTAAGGACACCAGAGATTACTATGCTGTTGTCACTCATGGCATCTCAACATGTATAAGTTCTTTGGCAAGATGAGTGTATCAGTCTTCTAGAAATGAAGAGGGGGCAGGGAGATGGCTCAGTAGAATAAGTGCTTGCCTGGTAAGCGCAAGGGCCTGACTGAGTTCAATCCCCAGTTCCGCAAAAATAAATAAATAAATAAATAAATAAATAAATAAATAAATAAGCAAATAAGCAAATAGAAATGAAGATTATCCTGTAGTCTGAGAGGAGACAGCAATCCTTCCTGTTTACTATTTCCCTTAGATTAAAATGGGTGCTTCTATTTGGTTGAAATGACTTGGCTCCAACTAAATGCTGGGATAAGTAATTGGGAATAAATAAAGCAGAGCACAAAGAGTTCTCTGCTAAAAGGCAAGTTAGTCTCCCTGAGTTCCCTCAGACAGAAATAACTTCCTTTACTTCCATGAAGACACAAATCACGTGTAATGCCCCATGACCTAAGAGTGTTCTTTCCTCTGGCTAGCCAGGGACATCTCATCCATCTCCTCCCACCACAGAACATGTACAAATCAGATTTTATGTGCTGACTTTGCAGCTTTGCTGTATCTTAATTTTCCTTCTAAATTTCCCTGCAGGATAACAATTTAGTTCTTACAGTCTTGACCTGGATCAATTTCTGAAACCCACCTCTGCATTGTTCCTGGAGACAGGGTCAGTGAGGGGGTGTGTTAGGTCAACACTGCCATGAATTTGCTTTCAACAACATGAAAACAGCGGACTGAGCTACAGTAAGCCTTTGCCTGATTGTCTTAAAAGTCACCATCAGTTCCTGTTTAAGCAAGGACTGATTAAGTCAGTCCTGTAAAAGCCAGCAGTTCTGTGTGTGCAGGAACAGACAGCACTGCATCTTAACACACACACCCTTGCAAGACCCCAGATGCCGGCTTGGCTTCAGCCTAAGGCATGGATGACAGTGCCACCCAGTGGCTGCCGAGTGCATCTTCAACCCTGTGTGTCCAGGCACCTAACCAGAGGCTTTAAATTGAATCTTTTAAAATTTTCTTACCTGGGCAACATCTATATAATTTATCAGGTCAAGTGGTCCTTCAAGACTTTTTCCCTCAGAAAGCTTCAGCTTCTCGATGGCACCAACATACTTTATTCGAAATTCTGCACAGGTGTCAGAATTATTGTTGCTTTGTCCTAAAGGGACAGGGAAATGGCATAAACTTCAAAAGAAATACGACCCCCGGCCCATCCCAGAGGAAAGCAGACACTGCCATTAGAATATGAATTTAAATAGTTTTCAGTACTGTGGTCTGAATTCAGGGTTTTGTACTAAGCCACACACCTACCCCCCTCTTATTTTTTTATTTTGCAACAGGTCTCATTAAGTCCCTAAATTCCCCTGGCTAGACTCAAACTTGTCATCCTGCTGCCTCAGCCTCCTGAGTTCTGGAATGACAGGCATGTGCCACCATGCCCAGCGCCAATTACTATATTTTTAATGTAGATGGACTAATGCCAGAGAAAACGTCCCTGTCTGCTATAAAATCTAGCCAACACAAAAATCACCACAAATGATTTATGATACCTGCCACACTAAGGAGACACCATGTGACTGCTTTGGGAAAGTGTTCATGTAATAAAAAAAGATGTCGCCATTTCTAATATCTTGAAAGACACCATGGACTTTACAACATTCTCCTTTACAGATTGCTCAGTCTGGGACCCTCTCCAGGAGAGAAAATGAATGTATGAAGGACATTCCCAGTCACTAGCTGCTTTGGAGCTTGGAGTACAAGCTGCCTCTAGATTTCTAATGAGCCACTGATTCTGGTGGGCAGAGTCACTTTGCAAGGGTCTATGACAACCACTAATCACTGTGTCTCTCAAGGCTTGGGGTAACTGGCTCCGTACCCACCGAGTCACCAACACAGTGCCCCATTCCCACAGAGGAAGGCTAATGTGACTCACTCTGCCCACCCCATGTCTTACAAAGCTATCTGGAAACCCCCAAGGGCTTTCCACACAATGTTCTGGCTCTGGGTCTCCCCACGAAGCCACTCGCCTGCGCAGTGCTCCAGGGTGACATTTCCCCACCCACACTGTATTTTGGCTGTTTCTAGACTCTGGGAGGTGGCAGGCACACAGGACTCGGCACACCTAGAGGTAAGGCTACACACGCACAGGGAGAAGCCGTGGCCAGGAGTTGGCCCAAGCCGTCTACGCACCTGAGCTCTTGGTGGAGTCCGTGTCGAGGCTGGCCACAGTGCTGGAGCGCGAGAGACCCCCAAGGCTGGAATCTACAGACTGAGAGACACCGACACGCAAGCCACAGTCAGAAGCCCTAGCTGCCTGCAAGCTCACCACTGAACACACAGAAATTACCATAAACTGAGCTGACACATACAAATTCTGGTCAGTTGTTCAGGAACGTGGAGGGCAATAGAGTTTTCTAAGGACATAAACCAGAGCGGACTTCAAAAGAATGTACTATAGCTGGATGCAGTGGTGCACGCCTATGAGCCCAGCACTTGGGAGGCTAAGGCAGGAGGATTTCTACAAGTTCAAGGGCAACCTGAATTACATAATCAAGACTGTGTCCACACCCCGCCCCCCAACTGCTCTTCCTGTCATACAACTCTTGTCAGCCTAAACTATTACCTCTCACACCTTACAAGATCCCTTGCTACTATTCTCCAGAATCCACACTGTGCTTTAAGGTTATTTTTATAGAACCCCAAATGAATCCTATGTAGAAAGCTAGGCAGGGTGGATGACAGAGACCAGAAGGTAAGTGAGGGGCCCAAGTTCATACGCAGTAAACAAGTGGAACTTGGAAATCTAATTCCAAACCGGTGCTCTGTGGTGTAACGGTCAGGCCAAGATTCTAAAAACCACATCAAAAAGTAGCTTATCCTATAGAACTACCATGGTTTCATAGTTTCCTTGTAAATATCTCTAGCCAGGCAGGTGTCACATGCCTGTCATCCCAGCGCTCTGCAGGCTGAGGCAGGAGGACTGCTGTGAGTTGGAGGCCAGCCTGGGCTATAGAAGCAAGTTAAGGCCAGTCTGAACTACATAGCAAGACCTTGTCTCAAAAAGCCTAATGCAAACATTCCCGCAAAGGGCATCTACTAGTCCAAGTACAGAGGTATTAACCACCGCACAGGGAAGTGAAGATCACATGCACACACGGCAAAGCCCAGAACCTATAAGACGCAGCCCTTTTGCACCTCCAGGCTGTGTCATGTCAAAAATTCTTAAAATTCTGTCATTTCCATGAGACCATATTTCTTTAATGAGTTTAATAATTTCAGAAAAATTGCCAAAACAAAATAAAATTAAGCCAAACCAAGTGTATCAGCCATGTCAAAAATGAGCCTCAGGCCCCGGGGAAGCTTGGATCACGGGGCAGTGGGACCCGGTGAGCCCCTCCCCGTGACGCCGGGAGCACCCTTCTCCCTACCTTGCTTTTTGTGCTGATTTCGCTGCTCTGGGAACTGCTACTACTGTGCCGCTTTTTGCCTTTGCGGAACATTTCTCACCATAGCGTGACACAGGGAAGGTCCCCTAGAAGAAGAAAGGTTGGTCACACCAGCATCAAGCAACACATCAGGGCTGGGGAGATGGCTCAGCACTCTAAGCACCTGTCAGGCAAGTGCAGGGACCCAGGTTCTGCATGCCGCGCCAGCCACCAAAGAGGGCGCCGTGGAGCATGCCTGTAATCCCAGCGCTGGGGAGGCTGAGAAAGGAGGATCACTACGAGTCTCAGCTGCATAGTGAGACCCTGTACCACATACATAAATAAAAGATTAAAAAAAAAAAAAAAAAAAGAACCAAAATGGGCATTGTGCTACACACCTGAGGCAGGAGGATGCCAAGTTCTGGCCCCGCCTGTACAGTTAAGCAGTTGTCACTGTGATGGCCCTGGGTTCAATCCCAAGTATATTCCTTTTACTGAAGACTGTTGGGTACCATTCAATTCTCTTCTTTCCTTTTAAGTTATGGAAAGTTGGGCTGGGCGGAGCTCTTGGTAGGGCCCTTGTCTAAGGTGTGCAAGGCCTGGTAGACCTCCCCTGGCTCCCAAAAGAATCAAACTTCTTCCCTCTCAGCTGTTTGAGGATTGGAGCCAATTAGCTCCTTTTGCTGGCTTACCGACCCCCTTCCTACTTCCTGCCTCCCACTCCACCCACTTCCTGCCACCTGCTGTGGGCTTGCCAGGCTGCGCAGGGGTGAGCTCCTCCCTTCCCAGTCCCAGGATAGCTTGACCCAGGGGCTGCCCTCCTAAGGACCTGTCTGCAGCTGCAAGGCCTGGTAAGGAGAGGATGTCAGTGTCTGTTTGTCTGCACAGACCTATTTTTTAAATGAACCAGTACCTGGGAGACATAATGACCTAAACATGCTGTTTTGCAGGCGTGCAAACAATTATTTATTTTTTCGTACCAGGAATCGAACTCAGGACCTTGTGCTTGCCAACAGGCGCTGTGCTTCTGAGCTATCTCCCCAGCCCCTGTGTGTGGATCATTATTCTTGGACAGTTAACCCGCAGGGTGTGTACCTCACAGAGTACCAAACACACACACATTTTGTCCTCACATACTTACTCTGTGACAAACTCATTTGCTCCACAGATTTTGTCTTTTTTATTTTCTGAGAGAAGGTCTTGCTGTGTAGCTTAGGCTGGCCTTGAACTCTCAGTGATCCTCCTGTCTCAGCCTCCAAGTGCTGGAATCCCAGGCATGTGCCACAACACCTCACTTGCTCCACAGATTTTATCTTTTCCATATACATATCCTTGCACTTGCCAGGCAGACACTCGTGCTGGCAAGCTATATCCCTGGCCTGATTTTATCTTTGTGTGTGTGTGTGTGTGTGTGTGTGTGTGGCATTGGGGATTGAACCCAGAGCCTTCATGCTGAGCTCCAACTTCCCCACCCCCATTTTTTTCTTTAAATTTTAGGACAAGGTGTTGCTACATTGCTGAATTGCCCAAGGGGACCTTGAACTTGAGATCCTCCTGCCCCAGTCTCCAAAAATGCTGGAGTGACAGCTGGGCACCCACTCCAAGCACTTGCAGATGTCTTTTAAGGGCCTGTTGTGAGCCACAGACTGCTGTGGCTAAGCCTGACCCTTTTTTTTTTTTTTTTTTTTGGAACCGGGGATTAGAACTCAGGCCCTTGCGCTTGCCAGGGAAGCGCTTATTCCACTGAGCCATCTCCCCGACCCAGCCTGACCCTTAAGCGGCTTCAGAGGACCAGGGAGATGGCTCAGTAGAATAAGCGCTTGCCTGGCAAGCGCAAGGGCCTGAGTTCAATCCCTGGTTCTGCCCAAAGAAAAAAAGAGGCTTTAGAAAGGTGAGTTAGATCCGCATTTTACAGAGGAGAGGGAAGCCACCCTTCATCTGTGACCACTGAGAGTTGAAGACAACAGTGGAACACACTTTGCCCCCCAGAACCCACCCCTCTAGCAGGGGTGGAACCGCACTTACTGCAGCCACTGTGTTATGGCTTCTGAAGGATTGCTGGAGAGCCGCCTGCCCTCGGCACTCTTTCATCCTGACATGGCTGGTTCTTCCAGAGACAACATTCCTGATAAAGGACAGGCAGTGGATGAAAGAAGGTACAGTCAGTGAAAGCCCTTGGTCCCGCTCAGTTTCTCTGTTAGATAGGCGCTGTAACCCAGCACTATCGGATCACCATGTTCAAGCACAGCCTGGACAACTTAGCAAGACCCCATCTCAGAAAAAAATTTAAAAAGCTGGACATGTAGCTTAGTGTGAAGCCCTGGCTCAGCTCCCACTGTTAAGGGGACAAAAAAGCTTCTCTGTATTTTCAGGTATTGCTCTGAGTTCACCTCTTCATCCATCTGCGTGGTCTGACCCCAGACCTAGAGCTCTTTAGCCAGCCACACCATCCCCTTTTTTTCTGTATTTTTTTTGGCGGAACCGGGGATTGAACTCAGGCCCTTGCGCTTACCAGGGAAGTGCTTATTCTACTGAGCCATCTCCCTGGCCCCTTTTTTCTGTATTTTTGCTTTGTGGGCAGCAAGAAAATATGAAGGGTCAGGGAACACTTCCTGGGTGCTAAGGCCATCTGTGAACAAAGCCAAAGCCCCTGACCTCAGGGAACAGTTTTAGAGGAAGTCCACGAAGCTAAAAGAAAACACATACAGCCAAGCACGATAGTATCAGCACTCGGGAAGCTGAGGCAGGAGGATCATCACGAGTTAAGAGCCAGCCTGGGCTACCTAGCGAGACCCTGTCTCCAACAAACAAAAAAGTTGGTGTAAAACCTAGTGAACACATTAAAGCACAGACCTCTGTTGGGATGTGCAAGGGAATTAGGTCAGGATCCCTGTGGATCCCCAACTTCTGTGGGGCTCAAGGCCCTACGGATGTATTTGCACAGGAGCTATAGGCCTCCTCGCCTAGACTACATCCATAGGTATCAAACACCTACTCTGCGCCCCTTAGGGAGTGTCATACATGTTCAGGACAGCACAACCCTTTTTTTCTTTTTTTGCGGTACTGGGGATTGAACTCAGGCCCTTATGCTTGCCAGGCAAGTGCTTATTCTACTGAGCCATCTCCCCGGCCCTGCAACCCTTTTGACTGCTGTCAGTCTTGGGTTTATTAAATCTGAGGATGTGGACCTTGCAAATAGGCAGCGCTAACTACACATACCAATGCATTATTTACATACATAATGATGTTAAATGACTTTTTTGGGGAGTACTGGTAATTGAACTCAGGACCTCATTCTTGTCATGTTTTGAAATGACACAAAAACTCTGATTCTATTGTTAGTGAAATCCTAAAACAACAGTAATTTAGAAATTGCTGCTCCCGGCCGGTGAGACAGCTCAGCAGACTAAGCGCCTCCTTTGGCAAGTGCAGGGACCAGGGTTCAATCCCCAGTCCTGCAAGCCGCTGCAATGAGCCAGCAACCGAGTCCAGGGGTGGTGGCACACGCCTGTAATCTCAGTGCTGGGGAAGAAAAACAGGAGGCTCACTATGAGTCCGATCTGCGTAGTAAGACCCTGTACCAATATAAATAAATAAATAAATTGCTGCTCCACAATCCCAGCACCCCCTTTTTGTATTTTTAGGGAAGGGTGTTCAGCATCGACTTGTAGTGATCAGCCTGTTTACAGCCTCCCAAGAGGCCCTGGGGGCAGGGCCGGCACCACAAGCCCATTTATTTTTATTTTAACACAGGATCTCGCCAGCTAGCTTTGAACATGTGATTCATCTGCCCCAGCCTCCTGAGCAGCTGAGATTATGTACAGGCCTGGGCCACCATACTTGGCTTTTTGCTACTTCTTTCCACATCAACCCAGAAGCCCAAAGAAAGGAGCTTCTACGGAAGCTTCTGATACCTGCTGCTATTCTGATGCATGTTCCAGAGCCTGTGAATTATCTAGTGCAAGGAATGGTGTACACAGCCTGCTCCTTACGGACCTGCCCCTCCCAGCACCCTCTCACTGCAGAAATCACTGATGGTGGAATCAGGAAATCATCAGCCCTCACAGTCCTTCAGCCTCCACTCCATCAAGCAACTGAGACCTGAGCACACCTGAAGGATGCTCAACTCCAGCTCACTCTGTCTGTGTGTCTCTCCTTCTCACTCTCCAGCTATGTAGCTCAGGCTGGCCTCGAGCTCATAGCAGCCATCCTCCTGCATCCTCCTGCATCGGCCTGCATGGCACTGGGATGACAGATGTGTGTCACGTGGGCCACCAGGTTGTGCTGTCTGTTTACAGCTCGGTTGCTCCCGGGCCTACCCAGAGTGGAGCTGGCTTATTCTCCCCTTGTGTGCACTGCACTCAGCACACTGGCTCCTGAGGACGTCTTGAGTGAGGACACCCACATGACACCCAGCACTGAGCACCTAGCAGGGTTACAGAAACCGCTGACCCTGATTCGGATCCGCGAGGCTGAAGCAGGGCAGCCGTGCTCAAAGGAGGTCCCCAGAGGCAAGGACGCGCCCAAGGTCACCAGGCTAGGGTCAGATGGCCAAGTTTAGGACCTGGACCGACACCCTGCTCGCACGTGTTCTCGCTGTGCGGGGGATGCGACAGCAAGTGACACAACCTTGTTCCAGAGCAGGGAGTGTAGAGAGAGCTCGGCCTTGTCCTGCTCCCCGGCAGCCCGACCCACGCTCCTGGGACCCCGCAACCCCTCTCCTGGCTCGCCCGCTGGGCCTGGGGACAAGGCGGTCCCCGACACTGGGTGTCCCCCAGCCCCACCCATCCGTCCTGCCCGCCGGCGCCGCCCTGGGCCGCGCTCCTGCCCGCGCCGCAGCCTGGTCCCAAGTGAGGACAGGCAGGGTCTCTCACCTGGCGTCCGCGTCCCCAGGGCCACGGCCACCTCGCCGGCCGGGAATCCGAGCGCCCTCGCCGCTACTCCAGGTCGAACTCCAGCGCCAGCTTTTCCAGTCCTCCCGACGTGTCTAGCAAGACCACGCCCTCGGAGTGCGCATGTGCGATCCTCAGAGCCCGCCCTTGGTTTCCGGACTCGGAGTTGCGCGGAACTTCTGGAGCCGCGTTCTCCAACCGGAAGTCTAGGGGAGGAGCCTAGTCTATGGGCGCCAGCGTGCCGGAAGTTGTCTCTAGGTGGATGCATTGGTTGCTGCTGTCTGTTTGCAGTTTAGAAAGACTTAGGCGTGCTCACCTACGCTTCTCCAAGTTTCCGGATGTCTGCGATTCCTGCGGAGGAGAGCGACCAGCTGCTGATCCGACCCCTGTAAGGGACCAGCGCGCAGAAGTGCGGCTGTGGGCGAGCCCGGCCTGGCTGGCGTCTTGTTCCCACATGCGCTGGGGCCGAGCTGCTCGGGCCCCTGGTTTGGTGAACTGGTCGAAAGGGGCTGCTCGGTTGGGGGGATTTTGTTTTTTCCTCGGTCTCAGTTGAGGTCTCAGTTGGAGCCGTGATAGAGCTATTTCAGGCCTCTGGGCGTCTTCTATGAAAAGCATTATCAGGTGACACCAATCCGGATCGGGCACACCAGGGCCAGGGAGTCGGTGGGCGAATGGGGCAGCTGGATCTAGTTCTTAACTTGCTGTGGATTTCTACCTCCGATGCTCAGACCCGAGTTAAAAAAGCGGGGAGGGACGTTGGAAAGGAGAGAGTGCAGAGACATTAACCAAAACATAACCCCCTTCACCACTCAAGAGTCGGATCCTTCGTGGGGATGGCCTTTCACCTCCTGGAGGGCTGCCTGGAAAAGGGACTGTAAACGTGGAGAATTTATTCCTGTAGATGAACCATTTGTACCCAAAGATGAATTTTACTGTTCACTATTAAATTTTTGTATGTATTTGTTACAGGGTCTCATTGCGCAGGTTGGACTTGTAGTGACCTTTCTGTCTCAGCCTCCCCAGCTCTGGGATTACAGGCATGCCCCCCCCACACACACACACACCAGGTTTCGGTGGCCTGCATGGTGGGTAGGGCATGCGGTACTGGGGATGGAACCCAGGTCCTTGCACTTGCCAAGCAGGCACTTAAGACCGTTGAGCTATCTTTTCAGCCCTTACTTAGCTTTATTTCGATTTTTTTACTTGTATTGTTTTTTTCCTTCTCCTTTCTTTCCTTTTCCTCTCCTTTGTTCCTCTTCTCGTTTGAACATTTCACTATTAGAGATTAAAACCACATTAATGTACACTCTTCAAAAGACAGAAAGTAAACTGCACCTGGTGGCTCACCCCTGTTGATCCTAGCAGTCTAGGAGGCTGAAGCAGGAGGATGGTGAATTTCACCCCTACCTGGGCCATTTAGAGGCCCTGTGTCAAGATGAAATTTTTAAAAGCACTGGGGTGTAGCTCAGTGAGAATGCCCCCTCAGGTTCAGTATCCAGTACTGCAAAATAAATTGAAAAAGTAGAAGATGTCCTCATGCAGTAAGACTTTTTGAGCTCCCACGGGGGACATAGTCCAGTATCCTTGTGCCTGGTGTGGACCTGTCCACTCTTCCTGTGCTCTGTAAACTCTGAGCAAGTGTCTAGCCCTGCACGGTCTCCGGGGTAACAGGTAAAACAGAGGACCACATTCATCAAATTCATCCTTTTGGAAGCAACATAGTACAAAACAGACTAGAAAGTTTGTAAAAAGTAGGAGATGATGATTTGGAGCCAGACTATTTAGCAGGACTACACCCCCAAGCCTGTTTCCTCCGGCTATTAGGAGCAGGGGCCACCCAGGCCCAGGTGGGTGTGGCTGTCCTAGGAGCACAGAAAAGCATGGCACTAAGTACCAGAAGAGTATGGAAGGGGCCGGGGAGATGGCTCAGTGGAATAAGCGCTTCTATGGCAAGTGCAAGGTCCTGAGTTCAATCCCCAGTTCTGCAAAAAAAAAAAAAGAGTATGGAAAAAGGAATTTGGGTTTGCTTTTTGGGATGGGCGCATGTAGCCTGGGCTGGGCCCCCAACTTAGTCTTCCTGCTTTGCCCTCCCAAGTACCGAGATTAAAGGCATGCACCACCACTCCTGATGGAAAAGAAATTCTTCACATACTGAAGAAAAGGACACTCATGCATCCAGGGAATGATGTGTGAGCTAAGTCCTAAGGAGGAAGGACGCCAGGCAAAGGGAATAGAATGTATGAAAAAGTATCCACAGTCTGCAGCCAGTTTCTTTGTGGCTGACAGCTTAGGTGGGGTGGGCAGTGGTATGAGAGGCTGTGGTACATACTAAAGAATTTAGGCTTTCTAACTACAGGAGACCAACTGAGGGCTTGAACAAGGCTGAACTACGGTGGCAGTGCCACTTGAAGCTCAGTCCTTGCCAGGGTATGGCAGGGAATGAAAGTGTGGATTCCACAGTGGGACTTGAGATGGGCAAAACCAGAATAATCCAAGTGCAGAAGAAAGTGACAGCCTTGGTATTTTATGACTGCTGCACTGTTGTCTGAGGGACTGGCATGGAACACGGGGCAGAGTAAGGTGATGCGCATTTCTTGCTTGGGCAGTTCCAGAGCACTGTGTCCCTCACCGGCTAGAGCGGCTGGGGAGGTCGCAGGGGTAGTGCTTACCGCTACTGTACAGAAACATCACAGGCCGGGGGTGGTGGCATGCCTATGATCCCAGCACTTAGGAGGCTGACGCAGGAGGACCTATGCGAGTTTGAACCTTGCAGCACTCATTTCTCCAGCCTCGCCAGCCGTAGGTAACCACCTGTCTCTTTACCCCTCTCTCTTCTCTGGAAGCACGCAGTGTGTGGCATTTTGTGTCCAGCTTCCTTTACATTGCCTCATATTTCCATGGCTCGTAATTTGGGAATTTTATTCATTGATCAACATCTTTCTATTTATTTTTGAAACAGGGTCTTGCCTTGCAGCTCAGGCTGAACTTGAACTTATTTTGGAGCCCAGGCTGGTATTGAACTCTCTGCAGTCCTCCTGCCTCAGCCTCCTGAGAGCTAAAACTAGAAGCATATGCCAGCACGCATTGACACCTCTCTTAAGGCTTACTCCATGTGGGGCCCTGTTGCAGTGACAGCCACAGCAGTGTCTCCTCTTGTGTACCTCCCAGTGTTGCACTGAGCAACACAGTAACCTCGAGTCCTTATTACTGTGAGGCCAGCCTGGCTTGCTGTCAAGTACACAGTAGAGGAAGTAGCCCGGGGAAGGCCTTCAGGAAGGTGCCATTTTCAGGAGCCCACGTGGGTCTGCATCTGAGGATGATGTGAATTGAGTTGGAGTCAGGAGCACTGGGAGATGCTGGGGCAGGCTTCAGGGTCGGGTGTGTGTCCGAGGTCTGCATGGCAAGCAGGCCTGGGCTGCAGGTAAAGTCTAAGAGGTCATCTGCGAGTAGGGGACTTGAGAATGAAGAGTATAGCCCTGAGGAGCCCCAGGGCTGGAGCCAGGAGGAGCGGCAGGAGACAGCTGGAGGGGTGGCAGGTGAACACGGGGAGACAGCAGAGCACACTAAGAAGCCTCGGAGAAGTGTGAGATCAGGACCGAAGTGAGGACAAGGAGAGGGACTGGTGTTCACTGTGAAAGAGGAATTGAAAGCCCAGCCGTAAGGAGAGAAAATGCTTATGAGGAGCTTTAAAAAAACAGCTTTGAAGTGGTTTCACTTTGTTATTTATTTATTTTTGGAGGGTGGAACCGGGGATTGAACTCAGGCCCTTGCACTTGCCAGGGAAGCACTTATTCTACTAAGCCATCTCCCGGGCCCCTCACTTTATATTTAATGCCCAGTATAAAAGTGCCCAACATCGCACACGGCTGCCAGCTTACGTCCCTAGTACACCCTTGTGTGATCCTAGCACGGAAGGTTAACGCCAGCCTCTGGCTGCCTTGGCTCTGACCCGCTTTCTCTCATACTATGAACAGCTGCACACTCCCGGAACTCCAGGGCCCACTGTTCATCTTATCCCATGTTCACAGTCTTCCTCCCTCTTTGTAATTCCATAAATGTTTTAAACAGATGCTGCCATCAGATGAGAAGCAGTTTAAATTGTTTTTTAAAAAAAGTTCAAATTTATTCAAGTTGGTTTGGATTGGTTTTTAATCAACTTCTTTTGTTTTACTACTTACAGTGGCGCTGGGCAGGAAGTAGGACGATCATGCATTATCCTGGAGTTCAAAGGAAGAAAAATAATGGTAATCATCACCACCATCATCCTTGAACCCAAGCCCTGACGCTTCCTGAGCCAGTCCTGTAGTAGGGGCCATTGACTGACATTGTACCTTCAGGTTAACAGAATGGCTCTGCCTGTGTTGGGTATTTGGTCTTTTGTGGTAGACAAGTTGTCTGCTTCACTCCCAGAAAGATACACCACAGGTAACCCGTGCTGTATAATGTTGATGAGAGGAGCTCATACACAGGCATTTCAGAGAGCATTAAGCCAACCAAGAAGGTAGGCTGATCCTCTGTCAACTAGGTCTTCTGAACTCCAGTCTCTTCAAAGTCCCTGGTTGATACTCACTGCTCTGAGCCCTGTCCCTTTCATGAGAAATGGAGGGAGAGATGCCTTCCTTTTCCTCACAGTGCTGGAGATTGAACCCAGGGCCCTCCTAGGCAAGTGTTCTATGCTCAGCCTCCCCCAGCCCCTGGGGGCAACACTGAAAAGACAGTGCCCTTCCACAGGTTCCCGTGGCTCCTCTGTCTCCTAGTGCTGAAAAAGGAGTTGCGACAGACATGTCATCACTAGGAATCGCACCCTGTGCATTGAGTGCGACTTCAGTGCTTGACCCAAGCGCTCATCCCGATGCCTCGCCTGGGCAGGGAGGGGCATGCTTCTAGTTCTTGGCACAGCGGTCAGGTGTGGTTTTAGTGGATCTGTGTATATACTTCGGGAGTCTCATCTTTGATATTAGAAACCACCTTCTGATATCAAAGAGTTCCTGTATTTTTAGAGCACCCCCCAAACAGCTTGAAAGATGCCTTGTATTTTGCATTCTGTGAGTATGAATCTTTCCTCTTAGGTTTTTGTTTGCTTGTGTTTTGAAACAAGATCTTACCATGTAGCCTGAGC